GATGTACTGGAGTCCGGTATGGATTTGGAAAGCTTAGATGGCTTTTTCCGACTTGGATCACTTGTGGCGTAGGCGAAGTATTTTTCTGTCAACCAAAGAACGATTTTACTGTTCGGCAGTTCTATTTTACTTTATGGGTGTGAAATATGGTCATTAAGAATAGATTATATTCGTAGATTATTAGCGCTTTATCACAAGTGTCTCATAAGCATCGCTCATATATCTTGCAACCACCAAGTAAGCGGTACTGGATTTAGGGATACGGTGCTGGGTAAAGATTCCAAATCAATTGATGATGTAGTCAAGAGTTACCATCTGAGGTAGTTGGGACATGCGTTGCGTATGCCCAGCCATCGTTTATTTCGATGGAGCGATGTCTTATTCTTAAGGACTAAGGATAACATCTTATTATGACTCACCAATTTCTTTTTTTCTAATATATCATAGTTAATATATCTAGGTTCCTGCACGGAGTTATTGTTGAACCCTTGCTACTAGACATGGAAGCCTGTTAAGCGAAAGCTCCTATTTCGTCCACAACCATTTGAACCATTTGAACGACCTTGAGCGGCCGAGTGTAAGGCGGTCCAGTTGCTGTGCCTTGGCTGGATATACGGTGGGTTGGATGGGTTCTAGGTGTTCTCATATTTATATAGTCTGTCACTGCAGCAAAATCACAAGACCACTGCAAAAAAATCCATAACCTTCCTCCGTTTTGTAGTGTACACATTGGCTCTTAACTTGATTTCAAGTAACATATGCTCTACGTGCTTAGTAGAGTTCTGTTAAGTCTCCATTTTCTACGTTCCCAAGGATTATATACTGGCCAAAAATAACCTGCATCATGTTATACATCTCCCTTAATTGAGTACACATCAGGAAAACTACCTGTAGCAATGAAAGGCCAGTGCCTTTTAGGAAGATCGTGTCGTGAAATAAATACATCACACATTACTCATAACTTTTCAGGACTGTGATTGGAAGACAAAATAATCAGGCTTACGATAGATAGTTGGATCTTGGTACGAAATACTCCTGGTTAACTAAATAGCGATTTGGTAATATATATGGTGCTATAGGCAGTCGAATCCCCAACTTCTTAAGTCGACTCCTCAAACTAGTTCATAACGCTATTTCTACAATAGTAAGTGGCTCAAGTTTTTTTAAAGCTGCTCATAGGTCGTCCACAAGTTATGGTCTCCCAAAATCACATGCAAGTTTACTCGGTTCGAATTAGTGGGTTGTAAAAACTTATTCTCAAAGCTAAGGTGATGGTACATTCTTCAGAATCTTTCAAGATAGAGTTTGACGACTACCTTGTTTTTGTGGGAACCGGAAAAGATTATTCAATGTCATTCTTCGATCAATTCTATTGTTATCTAGTTTGTTTTTGGTCTAATAGTTTCTTGGAGTAATATGTCAGGAATCATGTCTATCTATAATCCAGAACGCACCCCTAGTAGTTGTTCGCTAATTATAGTCAAGGTGTATCAAAACTGCTGAGCTATTGCTCCATTGAGTAGGTAGTCAACAGTGACCTTTGGAATTCCTGGTTCCACTAGAGTTTAATGTCAAATTATAGATTTTAATACAGGTAAATATTGTGAGTCCTAGAGGTTAATTCTAATAGCCCGAAACATTAGTGATCGTAATCGGCATAGAAGTCAAACATCGAAAATCAATCTAGTTCGTCGTGAGTTGGTAGTTTTCTACTTATGTCCATCAATATTGTTATTTGTAGGTGAATAAACAAATCGGTATTTTAATGTCTAATTCATCACTTTGTATACAGAAAGCTAACAAAGGGCCTTTTTGCCAACTTAAAATAATATGTTCAAAAGAATGCTAAGTGTCGCTACAAGATTGGCCTGCATCAGCGTCTTAATTAATGATGGGGAGTGAAGTAGTTGAGCGTATCGACCGCTCCACTTATTGTGGGGATTTCATCAGTCCTGATGTACTGGAGTCCGGTATGGATTTGGAAAGCTTAGATGGCTTTTTCCGACTTGGATCACTTGTGGCGTAGGCGAAGTATTTTTCTGTCAACCAAAGAACGATTTTACTGTTCGGCAGTTCTATTTTACTTTATGGGTGTGAAATATGGTCATTAAGAATAGATTATATTCGTAGATTATTAGCGCTTTATCACAAGTGTCTCATAAGCATCGCTCATATATCTTGCAACCACCAAGTAAGCGGTACTGGATTTAGGGATACGGTGCTGGGTAAAGATTCCAAATCAATTGATGATGTAGTCAAGAGTTACCATCTGAGGTAGTTGGGACATGCGTTGCGTATGCCCAGCCATCGTTTATTTCGATGGAGCGATGTCTTGTGTGAGTAGATTGGAAGAAAGCTGCAATTAGCAAAACCAAAACGTGGCATCAGTTCATTAAGTCATTGAAAATTGGATTAAGTAATGTTAATAGGTGTAGACTAGCTGGTTAGCGTCCACGTGGTTGTCGTTATCAGTAGTTAAGGACTTTGAATGACATAACTCGAAATCGTTTGCGATGTCGCAGGTGCATCTTCTTTTTGTCTTCCACATTCTAAGTTTATTAATTCATAACTTTTATTTCACTGGTTTATATTTCTCGAATCGTCTCTTCGGTGCCCTTTTTTTTCTGTTACTACCTTTACTTCTCCGGAATTTGCCGTGACAATTTTATTTCGCTGTATTACCGGGTAGGGCAACTTAAACTGGTGTTGATACGTATAGGGCATTAGGTTGCCTTTGACTGACCGACTTCACAAGAAAATGAAAAGCTACTGGAGTAACAGAGGAATCACCTTGACTAATGTGGTTTCTATAATCATGTGACAAATAAAGATCAGATTAGGAACTAAGTAGTTCATGAAAGGATACCAGGGGTTTGAGGTGCAATAACTAGCTCATCACTCCTATTTAACATAGATGCTAGTCGAAATCCCATTTTGGTTATATTTCTTGATTTGACTTCAGTCAGTAACGACAATGAATAACTGGGATAAGTGTTCATAATTTAAAGCAGTACATGAACAATAAAGGACAGGTGTGCAATCATATAACAAAGAATGACCTAGAATAAAATATGAATCAATGTAATTCACCACATTCCGTTTTAGTAAAGTGAGGGAAAAACAATAGTCGGAATGACAGTACCATCAGTAATGCTAAGAATCAAACATAGTGAGTGCTGTATAAGAACAAATAAGTGAAAAACAAATAATATTAAATTTGAGATCCTTTGGCTCAAAAGGGACTGACGTCGAGCCCTGTCCATTAAACTCTACAAGTATCGCATCCCAAACATGTTTGTGGATAAGCAACAAACGAATATTGTGCTTGGTGTTTTTACTATAGTTGTATTTAAAACAATGTAATTTGTAACTACAGGTCATTGTACGTAAATTATGATGAATTCAACTCGTCTCTGCTTTCCTCCCTTTCAATCTTGGGCTAACTGTTAGCTTTCTTGGTTTATTTAAAAATAGGATGTGTTGTTTCACTTTCTTATCCTAGCCGTGTGTAAAATACAAGTACTGAAAGGTGGTTTTTTCATTATGTTGTGTCGTCATTCCACTCCCGTTGTCGAAGTGTAGATTAATGACTAATCTCATTAGGTAACTTTGTCACTAACTTCAGTTTTTGGTATTTTAATCTCTAACATACCCAGACAGCTTCCGTGCAATATCACCCCTCTGTCTCCTGTACTAATTGTGTTTCCATAAGTATATACTTAGATATTTATCGCTCTTTATGATCTGAAACAGTTTAATTAAGTTTCCTTGCACATGATTTCAGGATCGATGTTAATATGCCTAACTCAAATATTAGCTTAGTAATCTTATTCATCAAATGTGTGGGTTATTATTTATCGTGGTTTGGTTCGCAATATTGCGGGTAGACATTAGTAGAAATCATCTAATTCTATAGCTTATGGTCGCTTTGTTACCTTTTATTTTGACTAGTAAAAAATATAATAGGGCGGAAAAAGATGAATATAATTCAGTAAATTGCTCAGAGATGCTACCGGTTTTTTCACTGTGTGTTAATAATCTGACAACAGTAATATGATTTCTTTTTATAATCAACTCACCAGTTACTTGTGTGTGAGCTACACTTTTAAGTGTGATGGATAGGGACATTACCCGTCTGCCCAAACCAACGTGGACGGAAAAGGGTTCAGATCTGGGAGGTCTTAACTACGGAGCGACGAGTTGTCACTCAAGTCATTATCATAATAATAAATTTCTTCTATCCATCTGATGCCTCACTCTTTATCTGGTTTTATCTGTCAGTTAGGTTTCTAGAATTGTAGCTTTTGTTTATTGATTTCTTATTTCAGAACATGTTGAATGCATTGTTTCGCTTAGTCTAGTGATGGATGCAGCTTTTTGGAGGTTTTATATCATAAATTTTACAAACAAATGAGTTTCAGATGGATTTATGGAAAAGCATTGAGAAAAATCTGTCTTGGTTTGACTTGTCGTCGGAGGTGCGTATACAGTTGAACGATGACCCAAAGAAGTACGAGGAACAAATTTTGTTACACAGTTTTCGAAACCAGTTGCGCTACACCGGAAATATAGTACAATTGGTATGCAAAGTGTTTAGATAATCTCAACTTAAGGTCATAAAACGTGAAAAAAAATACTACGAGAAACTTGTTGATTATGGAAGACAACATTATCTCCTATATCCTTACCACTTACAAGACAAAATAGTCCGTGGTTTGCAAATTACGCAGTTTGTCTACTACCGTCGCATGATAATTGACCTGATTTCGACTGAAAAGTCATATGACTGTCTTCCAAATTTTACTGCTGCAGATTGCTTACGTTTGTTGGGAATTGGCAGAAATCAGTATATTGAGCTTGTTAACACTTACAAGAGTTTCCTGTCGTCAATAGGTCCTGACGAAAATGAAATTCAGGGACTTCTTTGTGACATTCTGCCGTCACAGCCAATCGATAAAGTCATATTTGAGCCCTGGTATGTAGTTCGTATTGGGTCAGTTATGTTGTCTGACATACAAGCATCTACGGATTCCGAGCGCATAACGATCGACCAGCTTATAGATGCTGAAAAAGCAGATGACTTGGAGGAATCCAACGAAGTCGGTCCCGGAATTCTTGTTAAAAATCTTGATCAAAATATCATCAAAGGACTTTACCTTCGTGGTTTGGTTTACATTGATATTCCAGTGTCTTCTGACGACAAGATATGTGTCCCTACACTTGAGGGCTTCGTAATGAATCGTATCAGTGGAGATATTAGAGAAAATCTTTTATACAAGATTTTTGTCACTGCTGATGAGAATACATCGGTTAGTGAACTAGCCGAGTGTCTGCAGGTAGATGTGAATTCAGTAAAACAAGCTGCTTCTATATTTTGTCGGTTGGGGTTCGCTCAAAAACGAATTGGACGTCAGGAGAGTCGAACACAGCCTTTTCAAACTCCAATATCCATTGAGGAGTCTGATACGCTGCTACACACGGAAAACTCAGTTGTCGACGCAAACTTAGATTCTTTTCCATCTGTAGATGACCACCCTCAGCAGAAAAAAAAGTTGGTTCTGATATTTGATTCGACCATCACAGCTTATCTCATGATGGGCAATTTATCACCCAACTTAAAGCCTCATGCAGTTACAATGTTTGAAGTCGGGAAATTATCAGATGATTCATTGAATTCTTTCATATTTGAATTAAACCATCTTGCTCCTGTTTCAGAAGGTGAAGCCGGAGTTTATCGCGAGTATGCTCTGAATTTAAGAAAAACAATCCACTTTTTGCGTAGTCAGGCTTCATTAGACTCAACGGACTTTTGTGATGTGGATTTAATTAGAGGTGGTTCGTTGTTAAGTTTAGAGGCTGAAACACGCATACGAGTTTTGCGCAAAAACTATAACGTAGTTGTGAGCCTTATTCCCTCAACATATGAAGACCAGCAAGCTTCTGATTCCCAATGGCCACCACATTTAGGACCACCTATATCAGAAGCTAATTCTCCGTGGTTCGGTTTTTTTATTTCTTGTATCGCAAGCAATACAATTCAAAGAAAACAGAATCCAGTGTTAATGTATTGCCTACTCTTTTGATAACATGTGGTACTAGAATATCTAGACTTCCATTACCTTTACGAGGAATTTCACGCTTCTGGCTTACTGCATGGGGTCATGATGCTGTAGTGATAGACTCAACTAATTTTTTAACCACAGCAAACGATATGCTTCTATCATCACCTGTACTTATCCAAGTGAGTTTTATCGATGATATCTGTTTTTTACTCTGATTCCGAAATACACTAACCCTATATCAGAACATGTTGAATCAATTCTAATGTTAAATTAATGATTTCTTCATTAAATAATCTTTCTATGTAGAAAAGTCTGTTGTCTGAATTCGGTATTTAATATTTGTAGAAAAATAAAGAATAAATGCATTTTAGCCATTATGACGGAATACAAGTCATAACACTCAAAGTTTCTAACGACTGATTTACGTCACTATAAGAATTTGAAAACACAGCACTTTACTTAGACTAACAGTCAAGTAATCCCTAAACTCGTACCACGTGTCACTTTTAAGATTACTAGCTTTTTTTAAATTCAATTCCTCTAAATCTTTTATCGGACGTCCATGTAAAGAGCTAATCAATATACCTGATGTAATTTCTAGCCATCTTGATTTATAAAACTACACAACCTTTACTACCTTGTTCTTACTTTGACCACAACACAATCGCAAGATTCCATGATCCCACTACAAGTAAATAATGCTTGAGGGATGTTTTTACTATGACACTTGTGCTGTATAAATGTCTTCCATCATATCTTATTGTTGTGAATTATGATCATAGATCCCTGTTGTTCTAGTGAGTTATTAAGACTTCCGAACTAGTTAGAGTTTTCTGGTCTTACAAGGGGCCATATGTTTTATCAAAAATCGTACCTCGCTTTCTTGCTTCGAAAATATGATAGTCTAACAAAAACTTAAGGTCTAATTATTTTTAACTGCTAGTATGTCTTGATAAATTTAATATTCTGTTAGATATGCTATGATTTTACATTATAATCAGGTATTCTCACGATCGACTGGTTCAGTTGTGATTACTTACTTGACCAAACCTATCACCGTATTTCAGTGCGATCTACTGCATCCCGCTCTACAAACTAAATACAATGTAACTACGCATTACTCATTATCTTTGTGATAATTTGTGGATAATACGAGAGCAGACGTATTACATTTGGCATTATTCCTCTACATTTCCCAATGGGAAAACAGGTCTATTTCTATAATCAAAAACAACCTGTTATATAATAAAGTCGAATAGCTGAAGTATACTCATATGTGTTGTCCCATTGTTATGTGTACCAAAAATTAAATCATTCTCACTTGAAAACAGCGAGTTATTATCAAAAAAGCCTTTTAATGTTCCTTGAAGTTGAATTCTTGCATGTTCTTACGGTCTGTTCAGACAATAGGACTTTATGGTACCTCCTTGAAGGGCTCTTTATCACAGATGTTACTGTTTTTTAGTGTATTTTTGAAAATAATTTCTCTGACTGATACTAAAAATCAAACACTGATTGTCCGTTCATTCAGTACAGACTCCGAAGTACTTCGTGGCACCGCTTGCGGTTTGCTACTCAAATATCCGATGAGAAAGGTTGCACAACGTACTGGTGATTATTACCATAAATTTCAATTTTTTCTATAATCTCAAGACATAAGTCGAAAACAGAATTACTATCATTCAACCCATGTCGATTTGGTTGAAATTCCTATAATTGGGAAGATATCTAATACCTGCCATCACAGTCATATCGTAGCCACCAAAATTTTTTAACATAATATCTCCATATTTCAGATTAGGTTCCAGTTAAAGTGCTAATGATTTTTTCATCTCTTAGATCTTTTATAGTTGGTTACTTTCACTTTGCTTTGCTCAAACCTTTTTCTTTCAAAAAGGCTATCGAAAGTTATGAATTTGAAGAAAATTTATCCCAGAGGTACATACCTTTACCTATTTCCAAGGAATTCCTACAACATTCATCCAATTGTGTACCAGAATTCATAATACATCTTATGAACGTTATCGATTTAACCTATGTCTCTGGATATATCATAGTACTGGCTCCAATGAACAAGTGTGAACACGACCAAGATCTGAATAAACTAGCTTCAGAAGACCAAAACATTTTATTGACTAGCACAGACTCCATTTTACAACGCGATCAACAAAAAGTGAATACAATTGTTCTAGGAAAGCTGTTTTAGTGGAAAATGAATTGCTCACTATTATGAAAGAGCATAAACCAATCTATTTCATTACTTTACGTCTAGGTTTGCCCATTTTTAACATGGAATTAAATCACGCAGTTTGTGCTCAAATATCTAATCAGAATTTACTGTCCACTAATAACCGCAATCATCTTAAAGCTACTAATCATCTACTTGTTGAAGAATTTACAAAATTTATTTTTAATGACTGTTCAGGTTTGTTACCTAACCAAAACCAATGTAGTTATTCAACCCTTGTTACCAGTTCTGGTGGTAATTTTCCTGATACCTGGCCCCTTCCTACAAAAAATATGATGTGCGCTAATGGTATTTTGTCATTTTTTTAGTCTTTTCGCCACACCTAATAATATTTAATCTGCAATTATTTTTGGTTGTAACGCGTACATATCTATTTCGGTCAAATGATTTAATCGTTTGATGAACACTCATTCTAAGTTTTTTTGCGTGGATTATCTGTTATTCAGGTATCACTTAGGTTTTGTCTTTTTTAATTTCTACCCGTCCTTTCGTATTTTTTATTTAACCCTAAAAATATATTGTCATACATGTGACAGCAGTAAATATCGTTCTATTTATTCCGTAATTGATTCCTGACCAAGTCACGTCCTCTATATATCAGTAACCGCATATTGGATATATCAGTGATCAATGTGAACTTGGTAATTAGATTACAGGTAGTTTTGAACAAGTTATAACTTAAAAATAACCCAGTAAAAATCTTTCATTTACGTTAAAACAAGTTACTGGACAATGTCGTGAAGTATTTTTAATCTATAATATTTTCCAGACCACTCACAAGCAGTAAGCTCAAGGAATCTTTTTCTAATCAATTTCTAAGTTGTACCAAAGTTTTGTAATTTTCGTTTCAACTAAATTCACATCAAGAATACAATCTTATCGTCTCAATAGAGTTATTAGTATCATGACTTGCTCATCCAATAATGTTAAGGTAACCCATTGTCATCGAATAAAGAGAACTCAACAGAGAACATTTCGACTATATCTACTAAAGCTATACATTCGTGTTCGCGGTGCAATGAATATATGAGCCTAAAAAAAGAAGTGGTCACATCAGAAATTTTTCCAAGACTTCAAATGTAAGGAGAATTTCGCGTAATCTAGAAGTTTGAGAAGAATCGGAGGCTAAGAAATATATACGGATCTAAAATATGGGCGACAGTTGTCTGCTTGACAGACATGGAAAAGACGTAAAATGCGTTTAGGTCATCATAACAATTGATTAATAATCATGTTTATTTATTTGAATACATAAATATTGGTACAAAGGGGCACCGAATACATGTGCGCCACACAAGTCACTTGGTTTGTATGTGGGCTGTGATACTGTCCGGGTGCCCAAACCGAAGCAGGTGGTTTCCTTAGGAGGCCACACCCGGAGCCTTTCAACCCAAAGGTCTGACCCACAATGCAGTGGAGCAACGTCAGGAGATGCAGTCCCATGGTAGCCGGTTATCAATAATCGGTTCATACGCCATTTGTTCCCTCGGGGTCCGGGAACCCACGTACACCATTGGTTTGGGATCAGGAGTTTCCAACGCCACTAGGTGAATCCTCCGTGTCCATCAACCTGGTTAAAGCTCTGAACATTTTCTTCTCGTCCTCAATTTTGTAAACAACACCCCTACCACGAGAAGCCATTGAGTAGAACTTCTCTGGCAGTGGCTGTATACATGTGAGAGCATTTCGAGAGGGATAGCTGACTCTCCCCATCCTCGGCCATACCATTTGGGGGCTAATGATGGGTATTTGTAAGAGGGTGATGATAACTGGTCACGCTCCGAAAGTACAATATGACAGTGAGAACGAAACTAAGGCATTATGAAAAGTGTCAAGCCAAAGGCAAAATTAGAGGTTGTACGTGTCGCTTTTGGACACAGTGTTCAGACTTAAATTAATAAATCACCGTCGCCTCAGCAGTACAGAAGTTTTCTTACTCAACCTCTCCTTATTCATGTAGATTCTTTTGAAGAGTGATTCTTCTGGGGCAACGTTGCCTGGAGTTGGAAAATATGCTCCTGTACTGAGTTTCTGATTGCTTTGGATTCCTTTTTGAAAAATCCACGCTATGTGTTGTTCTGAGATGCGTTCAGAAAGTGTTTGCCTAGTGAAATCAATGTGACCTGTCCCTCGATAACAAATAAAGCTATGTATGCACATCGATGTGGCTCAAAGAGAAAGTTTACCCATAACACATCTATGAATGGTAGCCCGTTTGGAGTAGATAATATCAAGCTTAGCTGAGTAGAAAGTTTTCAGAGATCTTAAAATCCGTTTATTCACCACTTCCTCAGCATTAATTTCCTTAAATTTGCCTTTTGTACCGTCAGTGATCTTTCAGTTAGTAGTTGGCTAGAACAAATAAATGACGGTTCTTCTAAATGAAGGTAGTGACAAAATATAGTCTTCTGATCACGATGAGGAATCAGGCAATTATATGTGAGATGCGTTTCTCTGCCTCTCGATTCGAAGTTCTTCCTTAAAACTGCTCCACTAATTCCTAAATTAATAGTAGGGAGTAAGATAGTTGAATGCGCTTACCATCTTTGAAACATCACCAAACCTGGTGTCTGATGAAGTTTCGGCGTAGATTCGGAAATCCCGCTGGTTTTTTTGTCAGCTTCCATCAATTTTGGCGTAGACTAAGACGTCTGTCTTCTAATTAAGAAGTGAGTGTACTGCATAACAGCTCTCTCGATTTTCATTTATCGTTATGAAAGATGGATTTAAAAAGTAAGTGACATTTTTAAGTTACTATTATTTGATCATACATGCCTTGAACCATTGATTTTCATGTATATTGACTTTATAGATTCCATACTGTTTTAATCGCTTTATGTTCTTTTTTCGTCTCGAATTTCATCGTTTTATCATACTTTATTCTCGTCATTATAAATACCGCAAGCATTCACAGACGAGTTTCCATACAAACTAGTAATAATGTGTTTCCTATCATTCCTGAATGTTAGTGAATCTGCTTTTTGGGGGAAGGAAGTAAAATAAAATTAGCAGTTATTTTAACATTTAATTATGTTTGCGTTGTGTTTTCTCAGGTATTTTTTAAATAGATTTGCCACGTGTATTTTCAAATAATTATCAAACAGGTGTATAATTGTGTTTTATTGAATCTTAATTGTGAGATTTCTTTCATCTCTGTTACTGTTGTTGTATTCTTTTACTGTTCAAAAAATAATAAACAACTGTAAATGTTTGAGCCGATTTGTGTTAAGAATCCCATAGTTGTTAACTTATCGAAATTTCCAAACTGTACGTTATCGATCCCATATTTCGGTAGTGTATACACGTCATCCATGAGTAGAATTTACTATTTTTGTTCATTCGTCCTGACTTTTACTCGGAGTTTGGAAAGGCATGGAATTTACAGGACATAACAAATGTGCTGAAACATAATAAAATAAAAGATCTACTCTTAGATCAGCATTCTACACGACATTCCCGTCTGACTGAAAGCTACTTGAAGTTAATTGTAATGTCGCAGTTTCTACGTTATTGTTTATTCAATGAATTGTGCCAAAAGTAATTTATGAAATTAATTTAAACAGTCAGTAACAAAGTAGAACTTCATACGTACGTACATCAGTTCGAGTTGCCACACCACATTAGCATAGAGATGCAGTGGTCGATTCAAATCCCGTAGTAGTAGAGGTAATAAGAGTATAAGCAGTAATCGGAAAGATTAGTGTTTGGAGATGCTACTTAAAGAGTATAATACAGTGAAATAAATTTGACATGAGAAAAAAAGAGACAAGTAGAAATAAGATCAAAATTTGGGAGAACACAAAGATTGGATGCACCTGCGCCATTGCAAACGATTTTGAGCCATATCATTCAGGGTCTCTAACCATCGGTTGCTATCATCTCGCGGTCCCCAACCAGGTAGTCTACACCTACCAACACGACTCAGACCACTTGTCAGTGACTCGATGGATTTGTGCCATGTTTTGGTCTGGCCACCCCTAGCTTTCTTCCAACCTATTCTTACACCTAGAAAGCATCACACGTCGGGGCAGTCGGTGGCTGGGTATACATAACACGTGTTCAAGCCATCTCAACTGATGAAGTTTCACTACGTCATCAATTGATTTGCCATCCTTACCTAGTATCCGTTTCCTAACAACTGCATTACTTACTCGATGGTCCCAGGATATACGAGCAATGTCTAGAAGACACCTATGATCGAATACTAATTACATACGAGTATCCTCTACTCTTACCGGCTATGTTTCACTGCTATAAAGTAGGAGAGTGCAAACTGCTGCGCAGTAAACACGCCCTTTGGTTGATAGACGGATATCTCGCCTACGCCATAAATGATGCAAGTTGTCAAAAGCTAGCCTAAAAGATTAGGCAAGTCAAACACAAACATTTTCACATGTTTTTTCGCACTTCATTTCTTTACTTTCGACTCATCAAAAAACAATTTTTAATGAAGCTCCTGCTTGAAATTGATCTCTCGTATCACATTGAAATTAGGAATAGTTGATAAATCCCAAGATAAACTTGAAAATAATTCATGAAACGTCTATACTTATCTATCACATTGGCAAACGAAATAAATAAAATTAGTGACTAAACAAGATTATAAAAAAAATACAAGGTGCATGTTGTTTTTTGAAGCGATCAAATGAAAATCACCAAATGTTCATACAAGAAAAAGGATGTTTGACTTGACATCACAACTCCGAAAAGTTAAGATTCAGACAAATATAGTGATTGAAATCGTTGAAATGTCATTAATACTTGAAAATCCCATTAAGTGTATAAGAAACATCAGGAAAATTCTGGCTGCTACATGGTTCGAACCTGTGGCACAATAATTATACTTCAACAGTTAACATTTATATATAAGCTGAATTACATTCTAGCCAATTTGTATAGACTTGGTAGTATAGGTGACTTGTGTTTATAAGTTGATTGTATATTAAATCTGTACAATTCATCATAATCTTCCTTTGGTGCTAGAATTGTTGAATTAATCAGTGGAAGTTGTAAAATTCCACGACTAATTCTTGCAAAACATGCTTTGTTTAAACTCCTCTTTTTGCATAAATTTGATAGTTGTTTATGACTTGCGAATAATGAATCAGTTTGCACAGCTATTGAATGTAAAACTGGTGTGTTAGTTTGTCTTACTGATTGACGTGAACATTTTGATAATTCTTTAATTAAATTAGTAGTGGAAATATTTTGCTTTGCATCGTCTATTGGTTCTAAACCAAATTTTAATGCTAACGGGAAGTTCGATGTTGAATCACTGAATAAACAAATAATTAGTTTTAAAAAGCAGTTTGAATAAATGACATCTTCGTACAAATAAGCACAAAATAATGTTAAGTGTATAAGATAGTTAGTGACAACTAACCTGGTGCCACCAAAACAATTACAATGAAGTATTCAAACTTCATTAAATATAACTCATCTACCAAGTAAAGGTTTATATAGTTAACTTCGAGCCACTTTTTATATGAAAGCTAGTCAAAACGAAGTGAAGCAGATTGGTGGTTGAAGCCTAGGTCCTTTTAACCAAAAACTAACCATGACTGGTCCAGATTCACCAATTTAACGAACTTATTCTTTGTTACCTCAAGTTAAGCGGCTGACTAACAGAAAGAAGCCTCCTTTAGTCTTTGACGATTATCTCGAGATTAATCGAAACCACTTACTTGAGCACAAATCTTTACTATTTATAAGTGGTTTTATCGAACCAGTACTTGCTTTACTAAAACACAATTTTATTGACCCTATAGCTTATCATTAATTAGTCTGAGAACAACAGTCGTACACTTCAGCATGGAGTTGTGGGTTTTACACTTGTATGACGACAACACTGCATTTTTTCTGCCAAGTTAAAATTTTTACACTAAAATATTGAAACACAACCATGTAAAGGCTCAGTATTCGATTGTAGAACTGCAGGCGTTTGATTTTGAGGCACATCTACTGAGAACAAGATTTCCTTCATCCAATAGTCATCACAGACCTTATGTAACGAGAAAATACTCATCAATATGGGTTCGTGCAGGTTATTAAATTTTATTAATACCACGGATTGATCCAAGTTAGGTAACAGTTGAAAACCTGAAAGGCCGTTTCGTCTTTATGTAGTACTCCTCATCAGTGCGCATCCGTGACTACTAAAGCAGATGTCGAACTCAGGACCTCCGCGTGAGCACAACCTCTAGACCACTGAGCTGGCATTCATTGGTGTACAAGTCCAGCTTCAATTGACTTGCCAACATTTTGTGTTAGTATGTGCAACCGAGTGATGAGTACTTTTATATGATGATGATGTGGTACTCTTGAATGGACGGAAATCAGAAGAAAGAAAAGATTGGGAAAAATACCACTTTTAACCAATCTGACGCACTGATAACCAAAGGATTAGGTACAGAAATGAACCATTTAGATTAGTTTGAAATAAATGATTGAAGAACACACGGGTATTTGATCACTAACTACTAGCCTGTGAGATTAGGAAATTACATGGTTATTTCATGTCTACTATGTCAACAACGAATTTTCTTATTGGCCTATTCCATAACGTGATTTTGTGATTATTACTTAGTTGAGAATAGTTGCAATAATAAATTAGTAATCGCTTCAGATATCTCTTTCATCGCTGATTACGAAATTATGTGTTTTCTAACTCTACCTAAAGCCTATAGTACTTGACTGATTTACAGAATTTGCTGATCATTTGTTAGTATTTGTATTAATATCAACAACGTTAGTGGTTGTCTAGACTTATTAGTTCAGTGGATAGCGCGGGTTTATGTTTGGTGTGAAATAGTATCGTGTTCGAGTCTCGATATCAATACTGAGATGCAGGTATTTGCAATTAGTGAGTCCCAAGTGAGACGAAACATACGTTTTGGACTCCACTGTTAATTACTGTCTTAGACAAAAAATTTCACGTATTATTTCTAAAAATTTTACTTGCCAAAATCACTGAATCAATGACTTACCAATCTTTTCCACATGAATCCAACAATGATCCACTAGATTCATTGTTATTTGATGAAAATTTCCTAGTCTGGTTGTCACTTTTAGCCAATGAGGAACTAGAAAATGTATGCAGAGAATTACTAAACATAACCTTATTACCACGTGATGACTGCTTTATTGATGCTGAGGGTATACTTCTGGTTATTTGACTTAATCGAAAGTCCCCAATTTGATATGGGGTAATACGTGAAATGAGCTGATCACATGTATAAATTAAGATAAAGAATGCAGTCAATAAATGATCATGACGTTGAATTCGTTCAGTTAAATTCAGTTTCATAGCATTTTCCGGTTCTGACATCTGTTTAAGGAAATTATGTACAGAAATACAAAATTAAACATAGAAACCTGAATAAATTTCTTATATATGTAATGACATGTAGGCCAGTTCGAACAGATCAACGTGAATAAGATAAAGTAAGCTTACTTCATAGGCTTCCCATAATGCAGTTTTGCAATCAAACACTAATTGACACAGACTGTTCCTAGCTTTAATTAATTGTTTCAAACGAGAAAGTTCTTTATCCTTCAGATCCATGTATTCTTCATATTCAAATAATGTATGCTCGTACTTAGATCTTTTAAAAAGATATAAAATAATATACTTGTTGAATTAAATATTTTACTGAATAATTTTTTAGAGAATTTCTATAAACTAAGAATGCGAATCTATAATTTGAAATACAAGTAAGTACTGATGGAATTTAAGTGGTAAAGAACTTAGTAACCATATGTTACCATACTTCTTGACAAATATATGAATAACAAATTTGAAATATTACAAATGAACTATTCAATAATCGAAATATTTTTTAAATCTTTAAATAGCCCGTTTCCGATCACATCATTATTCATCTAAAATCTAATGCTTTATTCAGTTATTGATGATTGTATACTGTTCATCTTGGATTGTCACATTGATTTTCTTTTTGTAACCAACTGTTTTATTTAATTAATCACCCCATTAGCATTCGATAAAAAGTAAATTTATATCAAACACTTTAATATATGCAATAATTTGTCACAATTTATTTTGCAGATACAATTTAGTTCAACGTACTTTCAACCGGAATGAAAAAGGAAACTAGTTTTAGGTTTCTTATTAGTATTCACAAGATCAAACTCAAAACCTTCAGATCTATCTACAAACAAGTTGGCATTTAGACTATAGTGTTTGGATCTTGAACTTCAAACGATAACTGTTAGTTCTATGAAGTTTCGGACTAGGAGAAATATGATTGTAGAATGCTCTTTGATTCTAAGCATTTATTCAGTTCATTTCCTTTAGTGCCTGATTAGTTTTATCAAACCACCTGCCTTAATGGTTTCTAAATAAGTAGCACCCAAAAAACTCTCATTTCTGAACAACTATAATATAGCTTATTTTGTTTGAATGATTATCATGGGCAGAAAAACTGATCGCAAGACAAAATTAAACCAGATATATACGTTGAACTTCATTTTCTTATTTCACTCCTAATAACAACGTTTTTTCTTTAAATTTAATCTGACTCAATAAATAACTTTTGGTATCTTCGTTCAAATGAATAATTTTTTGTTGTTCGTTAAATTTTATTTGAATCTCTCAACTTAGAATGTAGAACAATAAAATTGATCTAATAAATGTGTAATTTAAGGCTAGTCGTATAATGTGAATGATTTTGTGTAAAAAAGGAAACACTTTTGTTGTATCAACAAAGAAAATGCTGTAAAATAAACAATCAGTTATTAATGTAACCTTAATGTTTGTAAATCATCATTTAGTCGAATTTCTTTCGTACTAATATATTTTATTTGTTCGTCAAAAAATCATTGTTCATTGAGTTGATGGTTTTGTCACTTGTAAATGATTTCATTATTGAAGATAATTTCTGTTCTTTTTCTAAACAATTGGATACTGAACCTTTTAAAGACTTCAGAAAAAAAGTAAAAGAGATGGAGAACACTTTTATAAACTTACTGAAATGTTTTAAATATTTTAGAAGAATTAGTCGCTAATTTAATTTTGAGTGTACATTTGAAAAATATGAAGAGCTATTAGATATTACGTTATATGAAGCTACTTATCCTGAATTGTTTATGAAAATGGTATTTATCATGTCCGAAAGAGAGAAAATTGGACTTGTGATTTCTTTGTCAGAGAAAAATAAATTGATTCAAGTTAACACAAGTGTAACTAGCGAAATGTGTAAGTCAGTTCAAAGTAAACAGACCTATTCATGGTGCAATTATGTCAGTTGTATCAATGATAACTGTTCTCAATGTTAAAAGAAATGATTAAATACCATATTAGTTCGAGCTTTTCAGATTTATATAAACAATTAATATATACGAAAAGGGATGTATTAAAAGAGGTTCAAGGGAATATCATCTTATTATCAACTGCTGTGATATGGGGACGTGAATGGGTTTACAAAGAAAGGTATGTAAAAATATTTCCTAAATGTTTTTCCTTTGGATATGCTTAACAACTCACTACAATTAGTATCCTTTGGTAAATTCCATTAATCTATTGATTATCGAATAAAATTATTCAAAAGAAACTAATAGAGCCAAAAATCGAACTACATCGATCAGTTATTTCATATATGCGTTCTCGTTTGAAACACACATTGTAAAACAGTTATTTACTTCGTATATTATTGATATTTACTTCCTCACGTAAAGTTAGAAGTAAAGCTCAGACCAAATCTCAAAGTTACTAACATACAAGTGCTCGACCATTGACTTTTACTTTCACCACAATAGACAGAAATTTCACCGGTTAGAAACTGACGTTTTACTTACTTTGACATGATCCGACCAGTTTTTATGCATTTGATCTCTTAGTTCCTGTAGTACGTTTATATCGTGCTTCAATTGTCTTGTAGCTTGTTTATAAGATTTATGTTTGCCCATGATATGGGATATTTTGTTGCTTAGGTTTGCCAACTTGTCATTAAGTTTATAATTGTATTCTAATGTTCGACGTTCTGTTTTATTAACTCGTTTCTCTGTGCCGATTCGAAATTCGCCAGCCAAGTGTGAAACCCTGCTTAACATCTCTTTGAATAATCTGTAATTTGCATATTGTTTTAAAACAATGAGATTTCAATATTAACAACAAACCAAGTGTTCGACAAACTTTTATTTAAACTTAACTATGTCTTACCATAAATAAAATGACAAGAGTTTAACCTAGTTTTTTGGAAAATCTCCAAAACACGTAAATGGGGTCTAATCTACCCAAAAAGATCTTGAGCATAGTTGGATGGAAACTAAACTTTATGAAACTGATGTGATGCAGTTTGTTCATCTTCGTTGGATAAGATGATTGTGGGAAAATACTTCAAATCATTCGAAATTATAATACAATTTGCTAGTCGATGTAGGAGTGACATGAGATAAACCTCATTATGATTAGCAAAGGGAAGTTGTGTATATTGGTTCAATTTGTAGTTGGCTGAACTAACTAATGACGTCTCTGTTAGTTATTATTTATTCTCTGAAGAAGTGCCTTACACCGAGTCACGAAACTTCAGGAAATTCAGTTTTCCTACACATTGGGATACTATATATATATATATATATATATATATATATATATATATATATATATCTGATAGTTAGTTTGATGTGACGTTAGACCATAAATATATGTAATTTACCTCATTGAAACTTGCTATGTGATTATAGTTAGTATTTGTATTAGCCACTAGTGTTTTCTCAATCACCGTCATCTTGTAGACACAGATATATAATTGTTTGTAAATCTTATTGTTCGTTGCTCTTTAAATTTCTGCTGTTTTTATAGTTACTTGATACTGGTGTATCATCATTCTGTCCATCTAATGTTTAATCTTTTACTACTTCTTTTTCCTTCTAACTCAGAGTATAATAACTTGGATTAACAAATAATTTTTACAAAACACTTTATTGTTGCCTTCTATCTACTTATTGTTACATTTCAATACGTTCAGATGAATCATCGGGTAATGGAACTAGAGAAACAAAAATAACATTCAGGAGTTTGTACTCAATTCCAAATAATGACTTTTTTTAAAACTATTATCATGCAACACGTCATCAATCATCCAGTTTCATTTATTTATTTATTACCAAACCTGGACGTGATGTATAAACAATTGCTTCTTGTTTTTATCACTGATTTTGCATTTGAAAATGTTCTCATCCCATAATCACTTCTCATATCCTCATATTTTAATTACAATTCTTTGAAGTAAGTTCATCTGATCTCTCTGATATCTGTAATTACTGTGACAAAAACAGTTTAGTTGTCTTACGCTATCCATTGACAGATTATTAACAGATTTTTTAATTTGAACGAGTCTTACAGAAGTTCTGGGACCCCCTTTTGTCATTATTTGCACTAGTTTTCCTCAATAACCATATTTCCGTGTAATTGTTAAGTCCTAAAATTTCACATGTAGACGATTTCATAGCCTAGTAATAAGTCCACTAAAAGAATATCCCAATAATAATAATCATATGGTGAAATATCTAGTGATGGCATAAACTGATTAACCTTTTGTTATATCGAGACTAGAATATCTAATTATGAAACTATTTTGATAAAGGGAAGTTGGTTCCGTACCTCAAATGTGCTTAAAATTCGAATGTAACACTGTGACTGAACGGAAATCAAAACATAAGTCGTGTTACGGCTCTAACTTAAAGTTCAATTACAACCCTTATACACAGACCTCAGTGTGTTAAGTGGTTGAGGGTTTGGTGAGGTCGGAATTAGTAAGCAAACTCTATATTTGTCTGCTCAGCTTTTTGTGCAATTATTTGAAAGAAATTAGGATTAATATTGAACTTGTACAAACAGCCCGATTTGCGGTAACAAATACAAACGTTTTACAGCGGTCAACTATAGCGCGTTTATTAAAATTAAATACGATAGTTCTCCAGCGGCTTTAATCTCCTAACTTTTATATTATCAATTCGCTTATGATTTTCGCCGTTTATTCGACACAAACAGGAACACATGCTGAAATTAATTGCCATACGGTCACTTGAAACATAGCCTAGAGATTGTGCAAACATAGTTACTGGAGTTCGGGTGAACTCAAAGTTATCTAGCTGGGGAATTGTGCTTAGTGGAGTGCCCCAGGGTACAGTTTTGGGGCCAGTGCTATTCCATATGTATGTAAATGACCGTCCTTGTCTCCTATCATCATCGGTCTTGCTATATGCTGACGATTTCAAGATATGGAGAAGGATACGATGTGAGGGTGATAGCTTAGAACTTCAAAATGACCTGAAGAAATTATCTGAATGGTCTCAAACCTGGCAGTTGCCGATAAATACTTCCAAGTGTGTTGTGATGTATATCGGTCATCAAGATACAGATACATACACGATGAATAACACTGAGCTACCTGTCGTCCAGACATATAATGACTTAGGAGTCATCGTCAGCCTAGACTTAAAGACTATTGCACACTGCCGTGCAATAGCCGCCAAAGGTTTTAGAACGTTAAGGTCAATACGTAGGGCTTTTAGTCATGTCGACGCTAAGACGTTTTTGACTTTGTATACAGTGTTTGTACGTCCTAAACTTGAGTACTGCATACAAGCGGCCAGCCCCTGTTTAAAAAAAGACAGTGAGCTTCTGGAAAAGGTTCAGAGAACAGCTGATTTCCGGAATAGCGATGCTTCTGTATGAAGCTCGACTGGCCGAGCTGAACCTTTTCCTGTTGTCATATCGCAGAACTAGGATCGACTTGATTGCAGTTTTCAAATTGCTTAGTGCCAAATTTGCACCTGATATGCCATCATTTTTCTTGTCTTCCAAAACAGAGAATTTACGAGGACACTCCAAAAAAGTTCACAAGCCAAGAACAAATTACTTGTCAGCTGACCATCGACTTTCCCATCGAATCATCAACGAGTGGAACTCATTATCTCAGCACGTGGTTGAGGCTCCATCCGTCGATTCTTTCAAAAGAAAGTTGGATCAAGTGAGGGACCACCATTGCCAGGACTAACACAGGCCATCGGGCCTCCTGTCCTTCCCAAACTGAAACTGAAACTGGAAGAATCCATAGATTTGTCAGGCATTCATCAATTTTCTGTATGTCTTTATTGTTTATTTACACTCCATATTACGTGTAAATATAGAACATAGACTTTAGTAACAGAAGCTTATTGGATTTTCTGCCAAAATCTATTACCTCAAAATCTCCATGAAGCGTTAACCTTTGGCCGGAAAAATCTAATTAAACTTTTGTAAAAATGGTTCTGTTTGCATGGTATCTGACGGCTTATAGCTTAAGGAAACCCTCGAAAAAACTGCGCGACACAAGGTAGAATAGTGTTTTTGAACCAGCGAAAACATCGAGTTTTTTAAAAACATTGATACTATGAATACGGTCTGACTTACAAATAGCTAACCTACATATCAAAAATACAATGGTGCCTAGTGATCCTAACCTCAGTTAATTTACTCGAACAGACCGCTGAGGAGTTTTATGAAAAATGAAAAACATGATTTCATAAATGAACAGCAAGGTTGTTATTTGAATACATTAGAACTTACCGGTCTTGAGAAACAGTCAGTTCTAAATCCTTTTCATGATATATGGACTTATTGAGTTCCAATGTTTCTTCGATTAAATTTTGTATTTCTGTTGTCTTGTATTGCAGTTGAGCTCGCTCAACACTAAAATTTTCGAGAGACTCAACTTTTCCCGCTACATATATATCAATCACAATGTAAGAAAAACAAATGTACTCAAAACTGCTTTCTCTGAGTTCAACTTTTCTTCAATAGCCTCGATTTCAAGCCTCAGACTGACTACAATTTTGTTGTGTTCTTTATGCTTTTCACTCATCCTTTTAAGTAAAGTGTTTAGATTTTGTTTCAAACCAACAATGTCCCTATCTATATTCTATTGTTTAAAAAAAGCGTGGGTGTACTTAACCTTTATTTTGAATGCAGTTTTGTAAATATGTGATAAGTCCCTTGCCATCTAATTCAATGTTGTGGACTTTAGACGTTGTTTGGAGAATAAGATCCTTAAAATTATCGATCACGTACTGAAAGCTAATAGTTTTATAAATATAGGAATAAAATACTCATTAATTTTCTTTTTCAGTATCCCAATTTGCGCTTCATAAATTTTAGGATCGTACAAAACATTGGAAGCAACACTTGAAGTCAGTTCTTCCTTCCTGGAGGAACCAGTGCTTTTTCTACTTTTCTTCCTTCTTCTTGCCATTCCGAACTACTAGAAAACTGAATCATATTCCGTATATGTAGTTGTTATGGCTATTTCTGACTCTTAGTAACTTAAACAAGAGAAACTGTCCAATATCTTTGTGACGAGTCTGCATTCAAATTCAAATGTTTGTGGACGGAATAGAAGAAGCTTAGGCTTAACAGGCTTCCGTGTCTAGTAGCAGAGGATCACCAAATCCTCCAGGCAGGAACCTAGGTATGTTAACAATAAAAGAGGAAAAGAAATTTGTAAATCATAGTGTGATGCTGTCCTTGGTCCTTAAGAATAGGTCAAGTTGCCTCTTGTAGGACTCCTGAGAAGTCGCTTGGACTAGCTCGGCTGGCAGCGAATTTCAGCTTTTGACAACTCTTAAGGAGTAGAAGTTATGTCTACATTCCGTTTTGCTATGTTGTGTCTCCAGTTTCTGGGTGTTACCCTTTAGGTTAGTGTTGGAATTAAGCTTAAGTAGGTGTTTAAGAGGATGTCCAGAATTGTTAAGAATACTATAAGCCATTAATAAATCACCTCTTAGACGTCTATACTCTAATGGATAAAGGTCTGGTGAATGGAGGCACTCTTCGCAAGGTTTAGATTTGAGTCCTCGAACTGATCTCGTGGCTCGCCGTTGGATACGCTCCAAAGTGACCTTGTCCTTTTGGAGCGAGGGAGGAGTACTATGTTTCCGTACTCTAAATGGGGACGGATGAAACTATTGAAGATTGTATGGAAAGCTCGTCCATCAAACTGTCCAAAAATGCGCTTCAACGTTACCATTGCAAGGTTTCCTCAGAAGGCATTTTTGTCACAGTTAGCGTAAGACTTTAAATCACGGGGCACCAGGACTTTTAAATCTTTTTCGACTCGGGATACTACTAGAGAGGAGTTTTCTAAGTTGTAACTGTAGTTTGCGACATGTCGCAAATGGATTACTTTACACTTTGAAGTGTTAAAGGTAAGTCCGTTATCGTCTGCCCAACTTTGAAGTCGAGTCAGATCCTCCTGAAGTGCCTGTATATCGTCTCGGTTGCGTACTCTCTCCAAAGTTTCACGCCGTCGGGAAAAAGTAATAAGTCTGACGTTACCTGCTGAGGAAGATCATTTATGTAGATCAAGAAGAGAAGAGGCCCTAGTACTGGGCCCTGGGGGACCTCACTAGGACATTCCATAGCCTAAGATAAAGTGAAATTAACCCTAACCTTAAAGTGTCGATTTTTCAGGTATGAAGTAAGCCAATCGATTAGAGGTGGTTTGATACCTAGTCGTTTGAGCTTAGTGATAAGACACAAATGATTAACCTTATCAAAAGCTTTTGAGAAATCAAGGTAAATGATATCAACCTTTCCCTTGCGATCGAGGATGCTTGTCCATCTGTCTACTGCAGTCAGCAGGTTGGTTATACGAGAGTAACTCTTCCTGAAACCATGCTGTTGGGGTGAGAAGAAATTTAAGGACAGTTGATAGTCGTTTAAACCGTCGCATATCAGGAACTCTATGAGTTTTGAAGGTAATGACAGAAGAGCCACCGGTCGGTAACTTGAAGGTTCATTGCGTCGACCTCTTTTGAAAATTGGTGTGATGTGAGCCAACTTCCAACTTTCCGGTAGTGTGCCTCGGTTTAGCGAGTGTGAGAACATCACGCTAAGCGGCGTTGCCATGACTGAGGCTGCTTCCCTCAGTATTGCAGAATGAACCATATCCGGGTCAGGAGAAGTATCTAAAGTGCTGCGATTTCCGGAACACCAAGTCAGCACTTAGGTCCACTTCGGAAAGTCCTGTGGAACTGTAGATGAAACTGTCGTCAGTAAAGTTGATGTAGGCCGGTCGAATTGTCTGAGATTAATGTGCATGAACGAACAAATCCCTATGTGGTCGCACAGTGATTCCAATATGCTGTCTCAAGCTTTTTCTCATGTCTAAAGTGAATGTTCTAGTTATTCACATGCTCTTATCTTTTGATTTTAATGGTTAATTAAGGATTTAATATTTCCTAGACACAAATCAGTTTCAGCTTGGAAAGAACAGGATTCCAGATGGCCTGTGTTTGTCTTTGCGATGGTATCTGTTAGATGATATTACTTTCTTTTGAAAGCGTCGACAGATAGAACTTCAATAACATACTGATGATAGACCAAATTTAATATTGGGGAGTCGGCATGATGCGTCTGCTTATTGAATACTATTTTGCGTTATAATTACATCAATGTCTGTGCTGACTCGTCCTATCTTGGAAGTTGTTTTAAAGAGCCTTTGAAGATCACATTTTGTCATGTTATAAATAATGTACTATAGGTGAAGACCAACAAGGTACATAAAGTGACCAAGCCTGTACGGCTGAGTCATAAAGTCTCGATTAATTGCTTCCGCTTTGTACTTAACTGACTTAATCCTATTGTTAAACGCACAGCTTGAATAATGATATTTATTGCAGGTTCAGCTTCAAGGATCATGATACTAATGAACAGCTTTATTCGACTGCCCCTACATTTCCTACAGTTTCTTAGAAATATGTCATATTTAATTCTCGCATCTAGAATTGGTCATCTCAGATGGTATTCGCTCTAGTCCCAAAAGAGAGTTCGAGAATTTCGCACCTGCAGTCTGACTTCCCATATCACAGGGATCCATAAAATTATCCATTTGAATAATATCAGCACATTCTTCCGACGCATTCAAACAAATAAACGACATGCCATACTACAGTTAATTAAGGAGAATAAAGGTGGTTACTCAAACTTCTCATCAACCACCGAAGTTTTCGAATGCCTATTTAGCGACCCAGTGCATTTTACAGCACTTAGTGTTTATTACTATGATATCAAAAGTCTTTGATTACTCGTCTTTACAGTTTCATGCGAAATAAAAATGTTAAGCGTGAATAAGAGGTGACATGATCACAGTCCACACAATACTTTGTAGTCCAAGTCAACTCTTTAGAGTAATTACAAAGGAAACATGCAACTACGCTTAATAAAGTGACATTTTGAAGAATCGCTAATCACTGAGAAAATATCAAGAAGAGACACCATTTGGTTCTACCACGAGTTTATCCTAAATGAAGTGGTTTCCTAGCCCCTGTTAGGAGGATGTTTTAATAATGGTCTAGTCAGTCACTTATGTACCCATAACGTTTCTTTCACCATGAATTGCTGTTTAGTCTATGCATATAAAATATAAATGTTGCCAAACTCATTATCCTTACACTGTTTTTCCAAACATTACCTTTTCTCTCTTTATTCCTAAATTATTAGTACTTTCTTTGTTATCGTTTTTCTCTTATTTTTTTATTCGTTTTCCACTGTTAAGCACTTTCTAGGTTTAAGCAGATGACTGCCTGGCCACTGGATATGCATTATTTTAAGAAATTGAATTCGTTCCCATATACTCGAAATTTATCTCGTGGAAGTGAAATATGCTAATTTATTAGTCGCCGCTTGAAAAAAACAGTGGGAAAGAACTGCAAATCACTTACGTTTATTGCCGCCCAAACTGTGAGATAAATGTGATCTTATTAAGCAAACTCGACACTCGATCTAGCGATTTAGGGTAACTTTCAAGGATAAAGGATGGGCAATAATTCCAGGATGTTTAATTGGAAAACTTTGCTCGGCGGCCTCATAAGGGATAGTTTTGGGACCAGTGTTATTCCTCTTGTATGTGAACCGTCTTTCATTGTATCATATCAGCATCGGGCTTGTCATTGGTTGACGATATTATGATCTGTAATGCGATAAAAATGAGGGTGATAGTTTATAGCTCCGAAAATAATCTGCAAAGATCACCCCCATTCTTCAAAAGTCACCAGTTGTCTATTAGGCTTCCCAAATGCATTATGATGAATACTGTCCACCAAGTACGGTATTGAACTACCTGTTATCCAGGTATACACGGACCTAGGAGCAATTGCAAGTCAAGACTTGAAGACAATTTTATACTACTATGCAATAGCCTTTAGTTTTATCAGAAGTGGACAGATGTGTTATCAATAAGCTCAAACGATTGGGTATCAAATCACCATTAATTGATTGGCTTACTTCATATCCAAAAAATCGACATTCCACTTTCTCTCAGTTTATGGGATGTATACGGTATGTATATGGCTACTCTGCTCTAAATTCCTGATTTTATGTCGTTGCTGAACAAATACATCCCAGTTAATGCTAACTCTTGGTCCGAGAACTGAGAAAATATCCAGGTTTCAGATATTCCTATCAGATGCGCCTTAATAGTGTTGCTAAGTTCACGTAATTCATCCAATTTGTTTGGTAGACTCGCGACGTTCATATATAAGTAGCTTATGCTTTCAATTTGGAACGCGTGAGCTTCGTCCTGTTTGTATGTATGAGCCTTACGTGGATGGACAGGTAGCCCACCTATATGAGGTTTGCCGAGGTGGTAGGCCCTGTCCTTTACACGTTTTTTATCATCTAGATAGTTCACAAGTGGAATGGTCGGCTCCAACTTGCCTTTGTTTTTGGTCCTAGCTTCGTTTGGCCTATCCGGAAGCTTCTTCTATTCCGTCCACAATCATTTAAACTATTTGGAGCAGTTAGGAACACATTCGAATCCCGTCGTTACTTCTATATATTTACAGGTTAGCTGTAGAATTGTTCTTCACTTTCTTTTTTGCAAAGTGGTTATGTTATAGCTTCTCAAATGTGCCTTCTTCATAAATTTCACCCCTTTCTTTTGACTAAAAAAGTTTTTTGTGTGCAGAAAATTTTTTTGCACGTCCAGTTTCCCATTCTATGTTATCATAAGCTCGAACAGTAAGTATCATTATTAGTTAAAACATATGTCCCAGAAGAGTTTTCGATGGAATATTTCAAGCGGTTCTCGGCCTTTGTTCTGTCTTACCTTTACCAACTAAAACCCTGCTAACTGAGTATTTGCCGAGACCTCATGTTCTTTTTGTTACATATCACTAAATAATCCATGCTCAATGCAGTAGTATTGCAGTTTATTTATTTCTATTCAAAAGGCATCAGTTCCTCTGGTATCACTTGTGTGTCGTTGTTTTGCTTTGAGTCATTACGGCCTCATACGATAATGTTATTGTCACAAGTGAAATGAATATTATTTATTTATTTAAACACATAAACAATAGTACGAGGAGGCATCAAACAGATATGCGCCGCATATGTCATTTGATTTATGCGAGGGCTGGCATATTGCACGGATGCCCAAGCCGAAGCAGGGACATTAATAACAGTAAACTTAACGTTATTATATATGACAGTATTTGCTTGTTACTTGCCAAGGATTTTCCTAAAAGTCGTTCAAGAATCGTACTAGTATCTGTGTGGAATGGTGACTGGTAGACTGATTACTTGACGGTCAGACAGTTTCATTTTACATTGATTAATTATTTCATGTTTTCTTTAAAAAGCCTCGTCAACAATCTGTTACTTAGAGTCCCTTGTCATGCTAACACGGTTAAATTTTCGTTTCTTAAAGAGTTAAGTACATCTACTGGAGCAGTACTGATCGTAAATACACTCACTATTATTTTGCTCAGAAAATGGACAATATTATGTACGTGAAAACCGCACATTTAAATGATTAGGTTCTATCAACTTTTCGTCCGACTGTTATGAAGTAACAGGTCTTCTAGGTTTTTATGAGAAAGGACTAGTATTGAAGTTCGCCTTACATTACAATATTCACTGTACATAGTTTATCATATTGGTAAGGGTTTTTTGAATACAAATGTTACCAAAGTAATTGATATTCTATGAGCTGCATATGCCATTTATCATAATATATTTGAATCGCCTATTTTAAAATTATTATTTAATTTTTTTATGCACCATTTATCTCCCAGGTTGTTTCTCAATCCAACTTGTCCTTCCATTGTTTTTTTTTTCAAAAATTTCATACCAGGGTTCATCTACCGGTCGTATCCAAATGTCTTTAGATGTGCTTTTGAAATGTGATTTTTCTGAAGCAGAATTACCTTTTGATTGGATACGAAGCGTTCTGTTTTCTATTCCGTCAAACGTAAAGATTGTTATCATCGGGGTGCAGACTAGGATGCTTGTTTTTGGAGGCAATGATGTAATGTTTTTAGTCATTTTCTGTAGAGTTATCTCGGAACACTGAAGAGTTTGCCCTACTTGGTGAATTGAAGTTTCAAAGGTATTAAAAAGTATAAAATGTTGAATTTCTTTAGTTGCATCAAAGCAATTAGTTGTTTGCATTTTTCTTCGTAAGAAAATTTCCTAGTTAGAAGCAGTGGTTTAGTTTCAGAAACAGCAGTGATGCTAGACGTGGATCAAATGTTTACGTTGTTGGACTTGAGAATGGTGAACTATTATTTCTACATGAGGTACATATTTCTATGCTAATTTCTATTATCTGCTCAGGATAATAAAATTCTTCTGTGTATCAAAACTGGATTTGATTCTGTTAGATCTATTCATTTGACTTCATGTGGTGTAAGCATAATTTTTCATCTCATTTTCAGTAGGAAAATTTATGTGTTTTACATAAAACGACAATTATTTACTTTAATCTTGACGATGTGGAAGGTGTTTTATCAAATAGCTTCACTTACTTGTCAGATTGTTCTCTCCAGTCTTATGGAAACACTACTTTTCAGAACACAATGATAATTCGTTATCGATCGTTGACAATTCCAACTGATGGTGAAAATACATATTGTTCTTGTTTGTGTAAGTGTTAATTTTTCAATCAGATTGTTCTAGCCAAATATCAGATGGGGATTTTCGATTCATTGGTTCGGAGATTCGCTTTTGAATCACAATTGTGCGATGACAAGATGTGTGTTTCACCCATTCAGACTAGGTGGATAACAGCTGGCTCTAATCCTTTCATCAGCTTCAGCTTTTTAAATGAGGTAATTCTGACTCCTTCAAAGTTATTTGTAGTTAGTTTAATAGTTTTTCTAGTATTTATAAGGTCTCCGGATTCTGTATTTAATTCCTTTCGTTTTCATTTGTCAAATATCAAAATTGAATGTTTTTCTTGCAGAATGCAAACCCTGAAGTCTCTCATTTTGCATCTTTTGTTTATCAAGAGGCTAAACGTGCCATGTTCGGGATCAAAAAGTGAGTTGAATGTCTTCACTTTGCTTCTGACCCACTGCTTTTTTGCGTTTTTTTGTGTATAGTCTACTTAATATTACTTCAAATTGATATGTTTAGGAAATGCCTTTGTTTTCAATTCGAGTTGCACATGAAAGTCCATCCTTCAGCGTGCAACTGTGTCAGCTTACTTATTGACAAACAACGAAACTGAATTCAGTATTAAGTGTATGGTATCGTTATTTTGCAAAGTAAATACTCTCGACAACTTTTGGATTACTGCTACTGACCATGATTGAATCTACATAGTTGCAAGTCATTAAGTCTCCTTCTTCGGCTTAGTATTCTACCGCCTAATATTTTTGAACAACACTTCAATAAACTGGTTCAGAACCCAAAATATGACTTGAATAGAAACGTGAATACATTCCAAAGCAAGTTAGAGTTAATTAGTAGAAAAATGTTATTATCTGCGTAAACTTTACACAGGGATATATTAATCTCATCTTATCCACTAGTGCTGAATGGTTAAAAGTGGGTCAGTTAGCGTGCTCCAATGTGATTTTGTCTGAAACATGCTTCAGTCAAATCTCTAGTTTCTTGTTCCATATGTGTAATCTCGATGAAACAATGTAAAATTAGTCCGCGAATTTTTAGGGATTGCTAGGTTGTTACTTGACTAACCGGTAGCTGGAGATTTTGGGTATCATGTTTCTGAATCAACCATTGTTGTCTAGGTGAATGCCCACTTTATCTTCTGCCAAGTCTTGGGCTTCAATATTCCTCATTTTTAATCCATCGAATTCATCCATTTTTAAACCGTACTCTTCGGTTTTCGTATTTTCTCACTGTCAATGACATTTCTATTAGTTCTACTCTTTTGATATTTATATTGTTAACTTCCTATAACCTGTGGTGTTATTGTGGTGGCAACTTGATCTGACGTACATTTGTCCCAAGCTCTTTGTTGATTATGACTGATTGCCCGGATGTTTCTTTTCATTGCTTGTTTTATTGGTTCACCTACAGATACTCTAATAATGATTCAGAACCGTTAGTTGTAACATGGCCACAACGGAAAGATGTCTTTACATATCCCACTGCTATGTGTACTCCTTTTTCGAAAACCCCTTTGAGTTTGTCTCATGGACTGGCTGACAGCCGTCGCCATATATTATCTTCCGGTGTCGCTATTTCACCTGACCATCATTGGTTAGCGATTCCCGATAACCTTGGAAGAGTTCTTCTTGTGGATGCTTATAAAGAACGTGTTGTACGTATGTGGAAGGGTAAGTGACTTGATTTATTTTTACTTTTTCAGTAACGTTCTTAACCGTGTGTATATTTGAGTGTGAAGTACTATTTCCTGTGGTCAGCTGATGTTCATGTTCGTTTCTGTTTGTTCCCTTTATTATATAAAATATAATGCAGTAACGAGTGCAGTATACATATTTGAGTCTAAATTGGCAATGATTAACCGTAAATCATAATCATGTTTGTGACAGTTAAATGCAAATCAAGAGCACTAATTCAGTGTTTTAGTCTGATATTTCAAACCGTGTTTCAATCCTAACTTTCCACAAATTTAGTTCATTATCTGCGCATTGGAGAAATGAAAATCTTCTCTTGTAATAAAAAGTCCGGAGTAAAGTGTAATTGTCCATCTTAGTGGTAACTAATATTATTTTTTCTGGCCCTAATCATCATGTGGTAATATTCAAATACTCGGTCTTATTCTATGAAAGTAATTTAATGTGATCGGAAGATTTAAGCTCGACAGTTTAGTCTTAATTCGATTAACGAGTGAATAAACTAAAAAGCTCGTAACTTTTAATTGCCTGCTTGTTTATTGATATCCAGTAATATTTATGATTTGTATTAAATATTTTTTGTTGGAATGTTATTTTATCAACACAAAACCCTATATTGCTGGCGAGTAGCACTATCTTTTCATCTTTGCTCTCAGCTTATAACCTGGTCTCATCAAAGATTACCACTAAACCAAATAGTATCATTGCGCATCATATATTGGGCAGCATTCTGTTCATTATTTTAACAATCTTAGAACGTACATCATCGTCATCCAAACCTCAAATCTATCATCCATAACAAGCTAGATTTAAAGTATTTAGTTCGTTGAAGGGTTTCGTACAAAAGTGATCCAGTCAGTAGTTAGGACAGAGTTGAATAGCATTATATTCGATACTTTGAGCCACCTTCAGTTATCTGGTTCATACTAAAAGTTGAACAGATTTTTGGATAAATTTCAGTAATTTTTTTTTACGGAAATACACATTTGAACTACCGTGGATTTGTTTTGTTGTTTGTTTATACTCTGAAACTATGTCGTACTAAATGTCGATTTGATAACTTATCCGGTATAAGTACACTATACTGATGGTCTTTAGTGAACCAGTCAGAATCAAGGTGGTGCCTCATGGATTTTCTCGCAAATTTGAAAGCCCAGTGCTAGTTTGTGTGTTATAATGAACAAGGTGAAAATTGGCAATATTTTATTCGTAAAATACTTAAAATTAACTAAAATATCTATTGTACAGCTAAGCATTAAACACGACATGATACTTTAGCTGAACTACTAGAAATATTTGTCCCTGATACAGATTGTTTTTGGGAGTACTTTATGTGTTCCAATTCATAGTTGAGGGTGTTTGTGTAGCTATTTATTTATTTATTTATTTGAACACATAAATATTGGTACAAGAGAGCGCCAATATATATGCGCCACACAAACAATGAGAATGGGAAGAGAGAACAGGAGGTAAGGTGCGTAAAAGAAAAAAAGAAGAACAATAACGACCAAATTAGTGTATGGTAGTGTAATAATAATAATAATAATGCGGGAAACGGAAAGGTAGAACAAGGAGAAATCTTTCAGTTAAGGAAGATACAACCACTTTTTATGAAGAAATTAAAAGGTTACAGCAGGATCGTCACTGGCTTCTGTTCCGAGCCATATCTGATAGCGTCTCTAGCCACTGTGTCGCACCGTCTCTAGGACACCAGCCAGGGAGTCGTGAAGGACCAACACAAGCCAGCCCTTTGCAGATTTCTTTCATACCCCGACATCATATCATACACTGACCACCTCTCCGCTTCTCTCAACCAGTCCCAGAGTCGGCAAATAATGCACGACGTGGAATCCCCTGGGACGACATTCGTAGAACATGTCCAAGCCACCGAAGTCGATATTTCAAGATGGTGACGTCAAGTGGATTATCGTCTCTGTGCCCGAACACACGATGCCGAACCTCTGCATTACTGACATGATGTTGCCAATGGGTCAGCAATCCTTCGGAGACAACGATGATCGAACACAGAGAGTCGTCTAACATCCTCAACTCGGAGAGACCAGGTTTCACAAGCATAGAGCAAAACCGCCCTCACCGACGCGTTGTAGATCCGACCTTTTACAGCCAGACTAACATCACGAAGGCGCCAAAGGTGGCCCAGATTGGCATAAGCCGTTCTGGCTTTCACTATACGTGCATTGATCTCATCACTCACACCCCCACCAGCACTTATGCAGCTACCCAGATACACGAACTTCTCGACTACTTCTATCTGCTCACCATCCAGGGTGAGTACAGGATTGGAATCGTGCCAGTCTTGTAGAAGTACTTTGCACTTCGAAGGTGCAAAGCACATACCGTACCTACGGACATTGATTGCCAACTGATTAAGTGCAGATTGCATGCCTTGGGCATTATCACACAGTAAGACAATGTCGTCCGCATACTCAAGTTCGAGAAGTATTTCTCCAGGCAACAGATCCACACTGCCATTACTTACATCCATCAGAGCTGTTTCTAGAATGTCATCGATGGCAAAATTGAAGAGGAATGGTGAGATTGGGCAACCCTGTCGAACCCCACTGCTTGAATGGAACAATGGAGAAAAGTGGTTGTATGCCCTTACTCTGCCTGAGATGTTTGTATATAGGGCCTTTAGGATGTTAATAAATTTCTCAGGCACATCCTTCTTGAACAGACAATCCCAGAGAACAGTCATGTCCAACAATCGAAGGCAGCCCTAATGTCAAGAACGACGTGAACCGTTCTTAAAGGTAGGGACAACTATCGACTCATTCCATGACATTGGTACACTCTCTAGTTCCCAGACCTTTGTAAACAACACAGTCAGTTCCTTAGCCAGAAAGTCATCACCATCTTTATAAAGAGCCGGAGGTAAGTCATCTAAGCCAGGTGATTTGTTGCGCTTCAAGAGTTGGAGTTCCTCGCGGACTCTTGCCTTATTTGGTGGATCAGTCGTCACCGGCCATGGAGGGCAGGACAGTCTGACCGATGTTGCCGGAGCAGCAGGCCAGTTGAACTGCCCTTCGAAAAATTCTGCCCATCGTCCAAGACGTCGATGGATGTTAGTGATTGGCATCCCATCATCCTCGCAGATTGTTTCACTCACACCAGACTTCTTGCTGCCAGTGGCTCGGATGAGTTGGAAGAGCTTCCGGTAGTTACCAGATGCAGCTGCTGCTTCCAGCTCATTAGCACGCTTCGACCACCAGGCTTCTCGGTCCTTACGCAAGCTTTGCCCAATTTCCTTACGTAACATCCTTCGTTTATGGTCAAACTCACGGTCACCCGGAGTAGACCGACGGGCTTCAATGAGTTGTAAGGAACCAGAAGAAACCCAGTGCTTATAAGCGGGACGTTTCGCAAACCCACAACTGACTGTTCCCGCCATTTTCATGGCGTCATGCAATTGCAACCAATGCTCATCTATACTTTTCGGTGGAGTGGTAGCTAGCCTAGAGGCTAGCTCGGTTCGATACTTACTTGCAACAGAAGTTGCAACCAGCTTGCTAACATCAATCCGTTGGTGGCGTCACTTCGTTGTCCACTGAAAAGTAAGGTAAGATTGGCGCAGACCAAGGCATGGTCAGAGTCCAGATAGGTACTCCAAAAGGAGCGGCAGTCTTGTACACAACCACGCCAGCGGTAGCTGATCGCGATGTGATCAATCTGAGTCCAGGCTTGAGATGCAGAGGGAGGACGCCAGGTGGCACATCGGCGATGACTGTGCCGAAAGTTAGTGCTAGCCAGAAACAGGTTGTGGTCTGTGCACAGTTGCAGTAGACGGTCCCCGTTATCTGACCTGCGACCAGAAAGTCCCCATCGGCCACCTAAACGACTCTCTTCTGTGCCTAGACGCCCGACCTGAGCATTCAAGTCTCCGGCTAGTACTACAATATCTGTCGAACGCACTTTCTGGAGAAGAACAGATAACTGGTGGTAGAATTCATCCTTGATTGCATCCGGGCTGCAATCTGTCGGGGCATAGGCGGAGATGACGAAAAGACATCGTTTCTCACGCCGATTTCTTCTCACTTTGATAGAACTTTTTGAAGCGACAGATGGAGAGCGAATTTGTAGTACTTCACTAGAGTCTTGTATACGGGTCTCGGATAGTCAACAAACGTCGATATTAGACATAACCGACCCTATCTGTTGTCCAACCTGCATAAGTGTGCGAACGTTGAAGACAACCGGTTTGAATGGTGCACGTGGTTTCAGGAAAACTGCTTCAGTATTCGTATTTGGTGGTAGCATACAATTTTCACCGGACAGTGATTCGAGAACGTTGAGATAGAACCGAGTTTCCACCATAGGCGAGCTGCTGTATAAATCGAAAAATAAGGATACACAGAGGGAATAAAAGAGAGTGAATAAGTGACGTTGTAAATAATAATAATAATAATAATAATAATAATAATAATAATAATAATAATAATAATAATAATGTGAATTTTTCGACTGTTAATCGAAGTGTGAACAGAACTTTCAGTAAACAGCGTCATTTTCATTTTATTTGTGTGTGGGCTGTGATACTGCCCAGGTGCCCAGACTGAAGCAGGTGGTTTTCTTAGGGGGTTACACCCCGAGTCTTTGACCTAAAGGTCTGATCTACAAGGCAGTGGAGCATCGTGAGGAGATGCAGTCCCATGGTAGCCGGTGACCAACACTTGGTTCATACGCCATTTGTTCCTTCAGGATACTGGAGCCCATGTGCACCATTGGTGTGTAGCTATTTAGTATTGTTTCACTCTAACTCCTAATTTTGAATCTAAACCCTAACTTTCTTAAGTTCATGAACAAAAGGGGTTGGCAAAATACCATTGCATTTTAGCTAATGTCAGTTCGTGTTGAAAACCCTCATTCGTAATCCTAACTATTAACTATGGTTTAACTCCCAATGTATAACTTTAAATTATAGCTTATATCAATCGGTGATAAAAATCCTATAGGATTATAACCCTAATACAAGAACACCAGCCTAATTCCTAATATGTACAATTAACCTTTTCCCTTACTATAACTAATAATCCAACATGTGAGGGTTCATTAATCATAGAAAAATTGTTATTTTATTTTAATTTTATTGCTTTTTATTATTAATTGTTTTGTAAACAAAAACCTTCCTGATTGGCTGGGAAGTCTCTCAAGGTTGTCAGTATAGCACACTTTCACTACAGATGCAAATCCATTTTATGTCAGTGACCAGTTGTAATCATTGGCGCTTAATTTCTTCACTAAAACCTATGCATTGTGATTGTTGTTTTCATTGGCATTGGCCATGTTGGTATGACAAGCAGAATAGTGGTTCATTGATGATGCGAAATGTTTGAATTCAAAAATTTGTTGAATTTTCGCACTTATTAATGCCTCTGTACTAAACAACAACAAAAAGTTGAACATTTGGCCACATATTCCTGCAGACAATTTATTAAGTTAGATAAAATAAATCATTTTAATCACACGATGATTATGACCACATTTCGTATAATAATATAATGCTAATCAACGTCAAATTATACCCAATGCTTATTGAGTGCTCACCATGAATTAAAATCTTGATTTTCCTCTCCTGCATAATCCTACTCATTTGGTTCTCATCCTTCATATATAATATATAAACTCTATAATGAAGTGATTCCTTCTCGGTACTATTATATTTCCAGTGAATTTTGTAGCTCTTGTTCACATAGATTTTAACTACATGCATATATATTAGCTGTATTTTAAATAAGTGAATTTTAAAACTTAAAAGAAGTTCAAGAAGAACTCAAACAATTGTAGCTTTTCATGATATTCAACCTTGATTAAATTTGATAGTAACATTGATATTTCTAGTACTCAAGCATTTCTGCTTTAGAAAATTGAATAATGACCTTCAGAACAATTTTGTTTTGTATGAAGTGAATGTTTAGGAGATCCATAATTCAACAAATTGAATTGCGAACGTTTACATTGAGGTTCTCGTTGAAAATCAACAAGTGTGATATATTTAAAACGGAAAACACCATAATAAATGAATTATTTGTTATATACCAATATGTAGAAAATTATCTTTTTGACGTTTCGTGACTTGATGTAAGCCACTTCTTCAGAGTAAATAAACAACCGAATTAAATTAACATAAGTTTAAATAGTACAATGTAAACAATGCAGAATATTTTTAGTACAATCAAAATCATAATAGATTCACTTGATATTGTTTACTTGAATCTTCCGATTGATGTTTGGGACTGCACTTGATCAGTTTTTTATTGGTATATGCGCATGCTGTACGTATTACCTCGATATCGCCTTAATTCAGCAGTATTATAAGCAAAGATGGGTAGTGGCTAGTCGTGGAACCCAGGATGCGCATTTTGTCTCAGGACGCGTTGGCATTTGAAGCGAACGGTACTAGGTTCGAGTCCCAGTGTGAACATCAACCCTGAGATGCAGGTACATCAAACTAACGAGTGCCATACAGGACGAAACGCGCGTCCTGGATTACACTGCTAGCCACTATCCATTTTTGATTATAATGCTTGTGACTTAAGGCAATACGCTTAGCATGCACATTTGCCAACGTGAGACTGGTCAATTGCAGTCCTAAACATCAATGGGAAGATTCAAGTAAACAATATCAAGTGAATCTATTATGATTTTGATTGTACTAAAATATTCTGCATTGTTTACATTGTACTATTTAAACTTATGTTAATTTAATTCGGTTGTTTATTTACTCTGAAGAAGTGGCTTACATCAAGTCACGAAACGCCAAAAAGATAATTTTCTACATATTGGTATATAACAAATAATTCATTTATTATAAATTTTGTTCCCAATGTTCATGTTATTTGAACCTGTGAGTCCTACCTTGACATTGGTATCTACAATGTTATAAAACGATGGATGTGCTTTTTTATATTTGAGTATAATTGTATATTCATGCATAGCAAATAAACTTAAAGCACTTTTAAGAACAACCTAAATTAACTTGGTTACTTCATTATTTGAATTTTCATTTTAATTGTTATATTTCTATTAAATGGGTTATTTCTAAAAGTTCTTACTCGAGAAATATATTACATGCTATTAGATTGATTTTCTCTTTTTATTTACAACCTTCGCTATTAGGTTACAGAGATGCTGAAGTTGCTTTTCTTGAAGTATCTGACTCTGAAACTCCATACACTGGCTATCGTAATAAACCAAATAATTCTGTTAGAAAGACACTTTGTCTATTAATTCATGCACCGCATCTTCATTCATTGGAACTTTGGTGTCTCATTCATGGACCACGTATTGTTTCATGGGATGTTGTAGAACCAGTTCGCCTTATTCAAACTGAGCGTCAAAATTACATAAATACTACTAAATCAAATGAATTCAAGTGAATATTTGTATTTTGGTATTGTAGACATTTATTTTATGTTCTAATGAACGATCATATTGATTCCAAAACTTATCAATCAAAATAATATCAGAACACTGTCATTTGCTTGAATATAAACACCAGGAAGTCGCAGATCTAATTCTCCTACTAGTTGGCAAGTATCAGCGAGGCATATTTTACAGTCTTATGAGAACTAACGCTCTTTGTGGAACTTCAATGACCTTAGCTTAGTGACAGTTGAAGATTTTGTTGACTTGCATTAGAGTAGAAATTGTTCAGTATTAGGAACCAAACAAATATTGAAAAGAGCAAGAACAAAGATTCTAGCAGAACAACATGAATTCATTTTATTTCGTAGGTTCTCGTCAGCTGCTTACAACCTATAGTATTTAAAAAAAGATAATAATTACATAATGGGTTTAAATTGCTTACATGAGAGGGTTTATATTGAAGAAATATTCGTAAAGTATGACATGGGTGTAAATGAAATTAATAGGCTGAATATTGTAAATATATACCTAATGTGAAAGAATATTCTAGAGCATTAATTGTGACAACAGTTCAAAAGTGGGTTAGAAACAATTGATTACATAATGAATAAACATTGATAGGAATATAGTGAGTAGAGTTCAGTTGAAAGATTATTAATTTTTTATAAAGATAGTTGAAAAATAAAATCAATGACGTAATAAATATAAAAGATAAAAATTAAGAAAAATAAAATTTAAGCTGCAGCGGAAGAATATTTGTCACCAAGGCAGGGAAAGATTAACAATCACCTCCTTTTGAACACATGAATCAGGTTTTTGGCGCCTGATAGCAACTGCTTCAGCAAACTTCAGAAGACTGGAGTTTGGTTGCTTACTAATAACCTTGAATGATTGTAGGGTGTCAACCTGATGGCCTGTTTCAAGGAGATGTTTAGTGATTGCACTACTTAGAGTCTTTCTTTCTCTTGTTCTGAGGTTTTTTGGAACATGTTCAAAAAATCTGAGATATGCCCTCCTTTCTGTTCGGCCAATGTAGCTGCTTCGGCAGGTACATGTAAATTTATAAATACAATTGGCGGTAACATGAAAAGGATGCTTATCAACCTTTGATTGAGTTATTGAACATGTTGTTTTATACAGAATTTGAAGTTTGGCCGCCGGATAGGTTCTGGCTAGCGCAGTATTGAGTCTCCTGTTGATTGTGTTAGCAACATCATCACCTTTGAAGTTAAGACTTATAGTTATTGGTTTTTTATTGACAGTAATTACTTCAGTATTATTTTCTCTACGCTTTTTATATTTGTCAATAAACTTTTGTAATATTTACCTGTCATAGTATTTTCGTTTGATGGTTTCATTAAAATATTTTATACTTTACCAACTGATGTAAGTATGAGATGTGCCTTTTTGAACATCTAATCGAGAGTTAATTACACAACTAACCGGGTTCAGCAAATTCAGTCTTAGAGTTATCAATTTTGTTGGTCGACGATCGTTTTGATTGAGCTTAAGTTACCGACTTCTATCAAAGGAATAAAATTAAATATTAATTATCTGTTTATCCACTTTATATAGTTTAAATTACTATCAAGTGGTTTTACTTGACTCATCTGGATCCATTTATACAATTGGCCTAAACGCAGGCTTGTGTTTATCAGATACTAATACAGAAGCAGCTGTAGACTATCAAGAATATAAAATTCTTCAGAAACTCTATAAAACCTTGGAACAATATAGTAATAACTTAATATCAGGTATGTTTACTAGATATTTTTGGATGGATTTAACTTTCTAAGTGTTATAACTTGTGCCCTATTAATATATAACGTAGTGATACCACTAATTAGAGAATAATGATTTATCGACCGGACCAGTGACCCGTAAACCCACACGAGCAGTCTAGAGTCCTTATCGGTCCTGCTTCCTGCCTAGCGCTGCCTGTTGAGTCCAGAACACCGATCTCAGCCTCTGCGATTTGAATAATTTATTTCAAACATACTAGGTTTATATACAAACCAAATAGACTACATCGTACCATAAAATGGAAAACATTTGTACAAGATCTAGCCAAAAGCGGCTATAAATGTGGGAGATAGTAATTGATAAACTATGTATAATCAAGAACGGCAAATCGTATAATAATAGTGTGTAGGTCAAAATAAAGCTCTTAATAAGAGGAACATGAATATGCATAGTTGAGCTCCTTAATAATTATACAATAAAAATATATGTATTGTATTTTCCGGAAATAGATTCCAACAGTTACCATTCATTATTCTCTCAAGTATGTTCATCTAAACATTCTTATCATAATAATCACATTTTTTGTGAAAATTCAACAGTCTTATTATTAGTTTACCTAGATTTTATTTGAGGTACTTTTGAAAATTAGGATGGTAGTAGTCAATAGTTATTTTTACTTAGACTAACCTGAATCTTCAACTTATCATTTCTGTGATTCGGACTTTGAACTACTAAGAATTTCATTTGAAAATAAATTTAATCGATTTGGGATTCCGTTGGCAAACGTCATTTATTTCCGTAAAGTGTGACCACAACAATTCTAGTTCATCCTAATCGTGGAAATTAAATTTTGGCTTCATAACATACAATGTCTTAATGATTTATTTCAAAAGTAATCCTGCAGATACCTATTGCGATTTCGGTTACCACCATCATTATCGTTATTAATAGCAGTGACGGATATAATAAGTTCGTTCAGCGTTTATTCGTATTCAGTTTATTTGTTCGAGAAAGAATGAATTCTCAAAATAAAAGGTGTAAGGTAATTTTTAAACCCAGGATTTAAAGGAAGACAGAATGGATGTATGTCCACTTAGTACTGTGCATTCAACCTAATCATTGTTTACTCGATAGTCTTGATAGACATAAGCAATGCTTGGAAGGAGCCTATGATCACATACTAGTAACCACAAAATGTCCTCTACTCTTAATGGGGATAATTTACAGTCGTTAGTCAAAACAAAGCAAACTGCTGTACAGTGTATTGACTCTTTATTCGCTAGTGAAGAACTAATACTGTCCAACTCAATAGATCTGTTTACTAGATATAGGTAACTCAAAATTCAAATTCAGCCTGACACAATTTAATTTTCCCAAACTTTACTATTAAATTGCTGTGGTGTGGTATTCACGCCAACGACACTCGAAATAAGAATACACTTAACTGCATCTCTTCTAGCAATAATTTCGGTTGCCATCAGTTTACTTCTTGCGGGCTCAACTCTTTGGGTTTTAGTAATACTTCCTTAATTGACTGTTATGCCTCGAAATCTGGAGATTTTTAGGTCAAGTAAATGTATTAGGGCAGTATTTCGTTCTCCGATCTGATTAGTTCAATCGTGGGATTTTCATTGCCATTTAAAACTACACCATCAGCATTTAACTCATATTAGGAGTTACCTTATCTTTAATTCTATCTTATTATTAAAGTTTCTCATTATATAATACAAATGCAGCTTTATACCTACCTACTTTATGCTATTGTCAAGAGGGAGTATCAATTTCTTTATTTGTCGTAAACGTGAGTGTGGTTTCATGGGTATAAATTGTTTATTTAAACTCGAAGTTTGTGTGTTTTTGTAGATATGTGCTGTTCCTATGTAACTGATCTGCTGGTTGAATTCCGGACAACTCAGTGGTTTCAAAGAGCACTTAATTATTTACTAAGTTATCCAGATCTTAATCCCCAAATGATTTTGAACATTGTAACACTGTATATACAGTTACTGGAAAAAGGTTAGTCTCAAAGCTTTTTGACACTCTTTCAAGCTATTGCCACCTCTCACAGAAAACCTGAAGATTCGTAGTTCAGTACTACTGTGTGTATGTGCGGAGGAGGCGTCAGAGTTGTTTTATTTTAAATATTAGTGTTAAATAGAAACATGGAAAAAATGGCGCTCAGTATACTCTCCGTATTGTATAATTGATTCACAAGTTATTTATTTATCACTAAGATTTTCCTTTTCATAATACTGTATGTATGTATGTTTTATTAAAATTGTTCTATTAAAGACAGTAGTACTATTTCCCAATACATAAATGATTTATAGAGTAGCAAAATATGCTAAAACATTTCGTGGTTTACTTGGAAATTACTTATCCACTTTCGAATACTGTCAAGTTGTCTAAAGAGTTTAGTCTCTGAGCTGAAATTTTTCAGTTACACTGATGGTAAATAAAACTTCGAATTAACAAAACATAGTTGCTTTTTAAATTATTTCTGTCTGTCTAACAACCTGTTATGTTAATTTATATAATGAATAATAGTATTCGATTATTTATGTGGTGCAGGTAATAAATTTCTTAACATTTCATTTTGTTATCACGTTATTCATTTAAGAGCTTTTGGATTTCTCTAATGTAGATTTCACATAGTCCGAGTCTCTTTGGAATTGAGTGAAGTCAAGTGAAGAAAGTTTTACTTTAAGATACATCTTCATGAAGTCAAGTAGCTTGAAGCTTAATAACTGTCTTTATTAGTGGTGATTATATATATATATAATGATATGTGGTAGTGAAACTAAAATATGTTTGGTCACTGAGCATGGACAAACAGGCACTTAGCCTACTCACTTAAATATGTGGTTCCTTCCCCTCTCATTGATTCCTACTCTGGACTTACTGAGTGTTGCTGCTTGTAACTATGTTGAATAAAGTATTTATCTAGTGTTAATCTGGTTCGAGAATCCTTGATCAAATATAACGTGACTAGTCTCATTATTTTATTGACGTATTACCACAGTATACCTGTGTGTGTGAGAGAGAAAAATATTTTAAACCATCCGTTATGTCATATAGTCATAGAAAACACCTTAATCATAACTGAAAATTAAATAGCATACACTATTGACTAAAACTAAGTCTTCATTATTTATAAATTTGTTATTTTACAACTTTATATTTTTAGGCAATAATACTAATACTCAGGCGAATAAAATAAATGTTAGAATTTGTTCAAATGTTAAGGATTTAGTCGATTTCTATCTTAACTTTTATTCATTATATGATAATACAAAGGAAGTTAAGAAGTTGGAATTCACCGAAACATCACATAGAACATGTGTAGAGGTAAGATTTCTGTTTTTGTTGTTGTTGTCGTTCAAGGAAAGGTTACCTTGCATTATTTTCATACCATGTTCGCTCTTATTAGATGGTAGTAGCTGCAGGTCTTTTGGAATAATTTAATATCACCTATCACATGACCACTATTAACCTAATCTGATAAAATAGAGGTGCGTATCGATTTTGTCTGACTAGGTACAAACCACCCAAGGAGGCTTACTCATCATCTAACCTTCACAATAGTACGCCCAAGTGTTTTACCGCATATCTTAGTGCTTTCCTAATAGAGTTCGATCTTTTCTCTTAAATATAGCACAAGCCATACAAATTCGATCCAATGATCCTAGTGTCTATGTATTTTCAAATTACTGCTGCCAACTAGTTCGATTTCGATAGTTTGTAGTGATCTTAATTGTTTAATCATTATTCTCTACTTTTATCTATAAGCCACTACTAGTTATAATTCCCTATTCAACTGAAGGTTAGTTTGACTGACTGTCTGTTTAATGTATTTGGTAATTTGATTATTGTATCCGTATATATTTGATCTTTACAACTCATTGTTATATGGCATGTGGGAAAGAATATAATTTTTATAACTTGTCCTCAATAATGTTTCTTTTATGAACACGGGAAATGATGTCAGTGAATTTGAGGAGATCCTTTAAGTTGAAATTTCCGTTTATACTAATAAGGGTCCGCATTAATAAAGCCGAGTATTGAAAGGAAGAATAAAATTTCTAATGATGTTAAATATATCCGATTTACCCTCTGTTGTGGAAAACTTCCCTAAAATGAACAATGTGGTGGAGAGGTCTCACATAGACTTTAGCGAACTTATTGGTGCTGCTTATTCAAGTAATTTACTGATGCTCTGAACAGATTGAAAATCGAACAGTCTGTTGCAGGAATTCAGCAACAAAACTTAAAAGAAAAGTAGAAGTACGTATCAAACTGGTCGTAGAAGATTACGAAAACAGATTGACACTAAACTATCTACATGGAACAGAAAATAATTTGAATATCCACATCTAAACATGTTAAACTGCGTTTAAAAAACTATAATATATGTAACATTTATATCCATATTGAATTGATGTCACCTCCTTTTTGATGTACCACATTCAATCAGTTAATGTATCTCTAAGATTATTTTATTATAGTAATAAATCTCCTACGCTTTTTACTTCTCTTATTTTGTCGAAGAATATAAAGAGCCGTATACAACTTCAAGGATCGAAACGACGTTGTGTAACGATCTAAAGTGAAAGAAAAGTTATAGTACAAAGCCAAATGTTGTGGATGATAGTTATTTACTTAACGTGTATGAAATTGAAAACATAAAGGTGACAATAACAAATGATTGAAAACCAAAAACATTTAAAGAAAGTTAAAGGAATTAGTCCCTTTTATAAATTTCGATAATAATGATCAACAGATCAACTCTATCTTCCCATTGCTCTATCGAAATTTAAAGAAAGTATTGATAATTGATTGACTCTGTGTAAGAAATTAGATATTACAATTATGACCTGATAGTAGCTTGACGCGACGTGTTCGCACACATAGTTATTTGTCTCTTACTATCACGGAAGTCAATAATCGACAAGACCAAAGTTCATTAAGTTTCACTAATAAGCACGAAGGACAATGTTTTCGGGAGTACATTTCATGAAGAATGCCGAGTATGACTTTTTAATTTTAAAAGAAACTCATGTTTTTTAGCATTTAAAACTTATTCAATTTGAACTTAACCAAATCTTTCTGAATTATGTTCGTAAAACCGTTCTAGTTGTCTTAATTGGATGTACGAGATAACACGACCAGGGTAATAAAAATAAAAATTTGTTACCGAATTCGAAGAATTACAGTGTTTGTTGAATGTGGACGTTTAGAAAACTACTTTTTTGATTGGTTGTAGGGCAGAAGGACAGAGCAAATTGAATATATTTCAAACCATTAAAATTGTTATTACTCTTTTCAATGCTCACTTTTATTATTTGCCTTTTTGATAGTCGCGTTTACTAATGTGCTCCCTTTTGAATGGGTACCTGAAATTTTAAATACTTACCAATATTTTAACATTTTGACTCTTTCGTTTTATGGTAAAATTTATTTTTAAATCCAAGTCTTTATTCTGCATCTTTTTCTCTCTCTCACTAAACTGCTACTTAAAACCAGTTTATAGCTGATCTTCTATGTTGTGACCTTGAAGATGCTGAGCACTGTTTACAGTTGTATACTGTTTGTGGTTCAATTCTACCTAGTAGTTCCAGTTCTGTTGGGAAACCACTTTCTATACAAATGTTTCTTAACTCATTCCGATATGCGTTCATTTCAAATAATGAAAATGAAAATGCGTCCCAATTTTCACCAGAGTATAAAACGAAATGTGCGAAACAGTATCACCTACCAATAATTCGTTCAGATAATTGTCGTAAAACACTAACAGATATCGGTAAGCTCTATTAAATTTTGTTAGTAAACTTATTTTGTCTCGAATAGGTGAGTTGTGGCAAACAGTGGAATCCAGTTCAAATGCTTCATCCAATTCGGGACCCATCGTCTGGATGTGCCTGAATCCAGTTATACTTCATTTCAAACGCCCAACTTTTTATCCATCGAGCTACTGTGGTATTGGGTTCGATTCTCAATATGAACATCAACACTGAGATCCAGGTACATCCGACTAACGATTACGACCTAGGATAAGTCCAAAGTCTTGGATTTCACTACTAGCTGCAAACAATCTCCTTTAAATAACCTGTGACATAATTGTTGTGCCAACGCGGTCTATACTGAATATACATGTGATTAAAAAGACTGGTTGAAATTCAGACTTGATTACTAATTACAGAACAACTTAAATACTTACTCATAATGATATGTTATATTGCTTTTCAATAATTATAGATTAATAATTATTGAATAATAATGTTATTAATGTATAAAAGATGGGATACCTGGTTAAGACTACGATGAAATGAGCAATTTGATATGTTGCCTTTATACACAGAAATTAGGTTCAAATGAGTGGATTACTAAAGCGTCTACCGTAATAAATCTGTAGAATTTCTCTTTTTAGTTGAAAGATTTCTTCTGTTAAAACGTTTAATGATTACTGACAATGACGAAGTGTATTCATCAAAAACAAAAATACTCTAAAATCATAACATTGAAAATTTCAATTTCTTTTAACAATTGTTTTGTACTAAGTGCTCGTTGTACTTAACTAACTCGTAAGGAGATATATATAACTTGGTTAGTTCATCGACATCATCTTTGATATTGTGAGGTATTGAGTAATATCAGTTCGAACTTCTGAGCAGGTTACTGTTTTGTTTGTCTACTGAGTTTATTCTAACGAACACTATATCATGTGCTTTCTGTAATGATTTTAAAAAAGAATACTTAATGTTATGAAAAAAAGTATGTTAAATATATTCTGTAGTAAAATACATTGTTTTCTGTCTTGCTTGAATATACATTTACTGATTTGTTGTTTTAACTTGGTTTCAGGGTCATTTATTTTAGACCTTATATCGATGGTTACAAAATTTCACTTCTTTCAAACAATTATTGAATTATCTGATTTGGATCCTAAATTACTCTTGGTATGTTTCTTTTGATTTAATCTTTCAGAGTATTTTCACTTAGAATGCATTTTTCTCCTTAAATCATACTCTTAATAACTTGTCATACAGGTTTCTAACGTTTTTGTACCATAATTCTGAACTGTTTCAACACCCAACTGTAAATATTGGCAGTACAAATTGTTGATTTTTCTTTCTTGGCTCTGGCACCAAATAACGTCTAACCTGTTCATATATATATATATTCATACTACTCTGCATCAATATTTGTTCTGGCTTTATTTAAATTCATAAAAGGAACAAATTGAATGGAATTTCTCTTACGTTAAAGATTATAAAAGCATCAAAAACTAGTGACAATAATCCCAGTTACTTGAACTTTCAGAATTGGGATTGTAAGTATCATTTCCAAGGTTTGACTTAATAATTTCAAATATACTGAGGATTGGGCGAATTGTAAGTAATAAGAATAATATCCCATAGAGTAGAAGGTTAAATTTTAGATGTTTCATAGTTTAGCGAACAAGTATATAAATAAACGGATTAAACTAACACAAATTAACCTGGTAAATATGTCCATCGATCCAATTCGACTCAACATATCAGCAGAGCTGAATAGAATTTTAAGTTGAATACCGAAATATTAATATTAATATTAGTATCAATAATAAGAACAAGGATTTGACATGTCGAATATTATCTGAGAAAAAGCGTATTCTTGAAATATAAGGCATAAAAGTTCTTAAAACATAGAGACATAAAAGGATAGATGCATTTGCCCACTACGACCGATTGCAGGTTATGTCACACAACATCTCCATTCATCGGATGTGATAATCTAACAGACCACAATCAGGCATCATGCTCCTACTAACACGACTCAATCCTACTTTCGATAGCTCCGTAGACCAATTCCACGTTTTGGATTGGGTGTCTGTAGTTTTCCTTCAACATATTCCTACACCAGACAACATTCTACATCGAAGTGGGTAGTGGTTAAGCATATTTAATACAGATTCTAATCAATTCAATCGAAGAACAGTCAAAATCTCATCAGTCGATCGATTGTTTTTGCCTAGTACGTTGAGTGTAACCTCAACATTGCTCACCTAGTGTTTCTGACAAAAAATAACCGATTATTCGGAGACATTTACAATCAAATGCTTTTTTCATTTGGTTTAGACAAATAAATATTGCCACAAAGGGGCACCGAATATATATGCGTCACACAAGTCACTTGATTTGTGTGGGGGCTATGAAACTGACCGGGTGCCCAAACGGAAACAGGTGGTCTTCTTAGGGGACCACATCCCGAACCCTTTACCTAAGGTCTGATCCACAAGGCAGTGAAGCAACGTCAGGAGATGCAGTCCCGTGGTAGCCGGTTGCCAATAATTGGTTTACACACCATTTTTTCCCCCAGGATCCGGAGCCCACGCACACTATTGGCTTGGAAGCAGGGTTTTCCAACTCCCTAGGTGGACCTTCCGTGGCCACCAACCCGTTTAAAGCACCAGACATTCGCTTTTCGTCCTTTCAGTTTCGTATGTATCATATATTTATAACCTCTCAGTTATTATATCTTAGTTCACTCTCCCAATAGAACCACATTTTCACCTTGCTGTAATATACACATTGACAAGTTATAATCATGAACAGTTTCTACGATACTGTTAATTAATAAAATTTGCCTTTCTTTCGAATAATTTTTCTTTTCAAAAACTTTTAGTTCTCTTTCACCTTGTTCATGTTGAATGAAGATAACTACTTAAATTTACCAATTTTAATTGATCGAATACATCACATGTATTGTTATATAATTTATCGAATTCTAGTTGAATTATTATCGTTACCACCTGAGGAAGTAAAAGAAGATGGAGATGATGATGGTGAAGAAAACAGAGATCAGGAAAAGTGCATGAGTGGGGATTTAAAAAATGAAATAAATTTTCTTGATTTTCTTGATATAAAATATACTAAATCAAAACAGCCTTATTTAGTGTTATTCGAATTAACATTTAAACAAATATACAGTTACTGTTTGGATAGTTATCATTTATCATCTGCTTATTTAATTGCATTAGTAACGCGTTGTATACTCTTGCAAATATGGCAAACATTTGAATCGGAAGAAAATATTTTGAAAGTTTTATATAATTATACACAAGTAAGTTGTTTATTGCTTTTCATATACTTTTTATATCATTACTTTCCAATCAGTTACATTGTTATTATTAAGTAATCTATGAGATAGAAATGTTTACCAATAACTAGTTATCTAACCAAGTCAGTCCATATTGTAAACTATAATTTTAACAAACCCAATCCTTTATACTTAATTTTCTCAAATTGGTGACATATGGAATCTACTCATTTGGTCGTCATTTGCCGTAAATTCATTTGAACATAGTTCAGTATTACCGTAACAAATTTTTACCAATATCTAATGCCGCTATACCGCTTACATTATTTATTCAGTGGTTATGGCAGTAGTGGCGTTTGTTTCTTAAAGGATTTGTAACTTTATTATTTTTTCAGTGCAAGTAGTAATTAGAATAACACAGAACCATACAATTCCGTACGTCTGAGCTGTCTTTCATATTGCTTGACAATAGAACAAAAGATGAATAAAATGTTAGGGGAATTAGCTATGTGAACAATAAGTAATCGACTTAAAATATCCAGACGTGTTTGTCCATCGAGTTGATCTGATTTTAATTCGAATTATTTCAAGTCTCGAACTATTGATATCTGCTATTTTTCTTATGGCAACTAGAAAGTCTGTGTTTCATCATATGATTAAGATAAGTAAGGATTGCATTTATGGTTTTTCGTCATTCCTTGGTCTGATCATCACTAGGGTTTCTTATGTTACTTGTACCCCATTTCGAGTCACCCATTGAGATGAAGATGCGAAACACACATCTCAACGATCTCATCTGACCCCACTTCATATTGCTATTTATTCAGTTACGGGTTTAAATTGCTTGTTTGTCTAAGTTCAGATTTTACTACACCAGGAACTGGAAGTAGACCCACCTAACTTGTATTGATCACTGGTCGTTCCGGTTTTTAATAGAGGACAGAAATCTTGAGGTAATATAAACTGTAAATCATCTGGAACAGTTAACTACTTTGAATTGGGTTTGACCAATAAACTGAAATCAGCAGGACAAAAAATGGAAATCAATGACCATTGAGCGGCCATTTCGTTCTAGTTTTGGGTTCCTTCAATAGCTCGCTCAATGATCGCTCATTGACTTATAATCCTGTTGGGTATGCTAGATCCTCAAAACACACCTGGTAAATGTCTTGCTTTTGTAATTTTATTTCGGAAATATGAATTTCTCATTTTCGCGCCAACAGCTCCCATTTTCACATTCACATCGTATTTCCTACTTGGGAAGACTTTAAATGTCATTGGTTCGTTGTCTCTTTTGATATGCTGTTTTGTAACATTTTCCAAGGACATTTCGCTTGAGTTGTGCTTGTTTTTGTTCGTGCTTCTGGCTGCTTGTGGAATACATTTTTCCTCTTCTAACACTGAACTTCTATCTCTACTTAGCGAGGCTGGGACGCATCGGAATAATTAGCTTGTTTGATCATTATATCACTGAGTCTTCGTTCCGTTCACAAATTTAGGTGAACTCGTAATCTCTTCAAACATAACAAATCCATACAGCCTTATTTGCTGAAGACGCTGGCAAAATTTAGAGTCGTTTGATAACCTAAATCAACAATCCTAGAATGTTTGGACTGCGATCCTGTACGTCTAAGTGAGAAATGTTGTGCTAGAGTTGCATCAATGCCTGTATTAATGAAAGGGGGTAAAGTAGTTGAGTGTGTCTACCACTTGAATTATCATCAACCTTGCTGTCCTGGTGTTTGACGAAATCTCGGCATGAGTTCCGAATGTCGGTTAGCTTTTCTAACTTGCATTACTTTTGAATTAGGTGAGATGTCTATCTCAACTAAAGGGTGAGTTTACCTAATAGTAGTTCACTACCTTATTTTGCAATTGTTAAACATAGCCCTAAAAAGTAGATGACATTCATGGTTTATCAGCCCTCAAATACCATGGTATGGCTGAGGGTGGGGAGAGTTCGCTCTCCCTCTCGTAATGCTCTTACATGGCCACGCGTACACAGCCACTGCCAGGAAAGTGCTATTCACTGCGTTCACGCGGTGTGGGTGTTGTTTACGAAATTGAGAGGACGAAAAGCGAATGTCTGGTGCTTTAAACGGGTTGGTGGCCACGGAAGGTCCACCTAGGGAGTTGGAAAACCCTGCTTCCAAGCCAATAGTGTGCGTGGGCTCCGGATCCTGGGGGAAAAAATGGTGTGTAAACCAATTATTGGCAACCGGCTACCACGGGACTGCATCTCCTGACGTTGCTTCACTGCCTTGTGGATCAGACCTTAAGGTAAAGGGCTCGGGATGTGGTCCCCTAAGAAGACCACCTGTTTCCGTCTGGGCACCCGGTCAGTTTCATAGCCCCCACACAAATCAAGTGACTTGTGTGACGCATATATATTCGGTGCCCCCTTTGTGGCAATATTTATTTGTCTAAACCAAATGAAAAAAGCATTTGATTGTGAATGTCTCCGAATAATCGGTTATTTTTTGTCAGAAACACTAGGTGAGCAATGTTGAGGTTACACTCAACGTACTAGGCAAAAACAATCGATCGACTGATGAGATTTTGACTGTTCTTCGATTGAATTGATTAGAATCTGTATTAAATATGCTTAACCACTACCCACTTCGATGTAGAATGTTGTCTGGTGTAGGAATATGTTGAAGGAAAACTACAGACACCCAATCCAAAACGTGGAATTGGTCTACGGAGCTATCGAAAGTAGGATTGAGTCGTGTTAGTAGGAGCATGATGCCTGATTGTGGTCTGTTAGATTATCACATCCGATGGTTGGAGGTTCTGTACGACAGCTCAACACTGATCTCAATGGCGTAAATGTATTGTTTCTTTATTTTCCTTTCCAGCATAACCCTCAGGATTTCTCGATACATTTTTCTGTTCGATTTATTTTTTAAAAATGTACAGTCTCATTATGGTTGGATGCTACTGTCTGTTTATCTTGCTTATTTCACATCGTTGTGCTTATTAGGTAGAAGAACTTGGACTTACGAAAATTTGTTCAGGCTCTGTAAGAAATGGAATGTGTCTTTCATTATTTACCTGCCTGTAGTTCACTATTATCATCAATTTTTTTAATTTATTTTTGTGGTGTTTTACAGCGCTCAGAATTCACATTACACAGTTCTTTGGAAAAGTTCAATGAAATTGGTAATGATTCTCTTAGTCAAGAACTTGATTTTAAGAAAAATACAATTGATTCTGAACTTCATTCTTTAAAAATACCATCAAAATTGTTAGGTTATTTTACATCAAATTTACAACATCTCGTTGATAAATGGCATCAAACTTGCGCTCAACTTGAAGATATATTAACTGTTGGACTGATTCTGTTATGTCCGATGAATCCAAAGAAAGAGCTCCAAGATTCTCATCATTCTCATCCATATGTTTTTCATTTTAATTTGCGATATGTTTTAACTCATGGTCGTTGTAAGCTAAAATTACTGTTGTTTGTTTTCTGCTTCATGAACTAATTTTTTCATTATCCTATCTGGTATACCGTTGTTATAGTAAATTTATAGTTAAATAGATTAAAATCCAAAACATACACTTGGTTAATAAAATGGTGCTGGCACTTAAAGATAAGACAGTAGTATAGTGATTATTGTCCGACAACTGGCCAGTTTGTTAGCTTAATGTTAGTTTTATCAATTTAATAAGATGTTGAAATTATTCGAGGCGACTTTGATGACGGTTCACTTATGAGACTGATTCTTTAGTTCTAATAAATATAATATAGAAGACAAGTAAACAACTGATCGACTGATGAGAACTATGTAAATAAGAAATTAAAGCTTTGGTTTACATATGAAATTATTTAGTTTAAGAAAGATTGAGTTAAGTGTCAGTTTGTAAATAGATTGTCAAGATTAAGAATTCATGTCACGTTGTCACACTCTGTATATAATACATGTAAGGCCTCCAAATGCCCTGGTATGGCCGAGAGTGGGGAGGACCCGCCCTCCCTCTCAAAATGCTCTCACAAGGCCACGCGTATACAGCATCTGCCATGGAAGTCCTACTCACTGCCTTCTCGTGGCGGGGTGTTGTTTACGAAAATGAGAGGACGAGAAGCGAATGTCCGGCGCTTTAACCGGATTCCAAACCAATGGTGCACATGGGCTCCAGTATCCTGAAGGAACAAATGGCTGCCATGGAACTGCATCTCCTCACGATGCTCCATTGCCTTGTGGATCAGACCTTAAGGTAAAGGGCTCGGGATGTGGTCCCCTAAGAAGACCACGTGTTTCCGTTTGGTCACCCGGTCAGTCTCATAGCCCACACACAAATCAAGTGACTTGTGTGACGCATATATATTCGGTGTCCCTTTGTACTAATATTTATGTGTTCAAATAAAAAATAAAATACTATATATAATCCATCCTTACAGATAGTTCTGTTCTGAAAATTATTTTGATAACATTTAGTCATAGCGTTAGTGTTGATTTACAGTCTGGAATATTTCATTTGGCTCCAGTTTGTTCAAAATCTCAGATGTCTTGCTAATTAAGGACCAAAAAGTATATGACACAATTTCAGGCTTTATTGTCCTAAATAGTCGAACATCAATTATTTTGATTTTGAACTGAAACCTTTAGCCTTAATTTCGTCTATTTAAATGTGAATGCAGACAACAATTTAAATAATTTAGATAATAATCATCTCAGATTTTACATTATCTGTAATAGGACGAAGATAGATGTATTTTATCGTGATTTTCTTGAGCTACGATTTAGCATGCGAAGTATTTAATTCCCTATTGTGCAAGCGAACGTTTAAAACTATCCCAATCAACTATGATTTTAGGAGATTAATCGAATTCCTGTCACTTTACAAGAATGCTTTACTTAATTATTGTGTTATGTATGAACATACTGATGGCTTATTTTATTCTTTTTGAAAGCTATTTCGTCGAAAATCCGTATTTTCTGTTTCTTGTTTAAATAATTTAACAGCCTATTTAACTGGTGTATTCTCATCCTGGATTGTAAAAAACAACATTACACCTGAACAAGTTTTGAGTTTCTATCAAAGGATCTGTGCAAAATCATTACCAGTTGAAGATGAAAGCGCAAACGATTTAATCACTTGTGATTCAGCTCATATTAGACAAGGTAAAAAGGTGGTTATTTTGTGGCTAATTTATGAAATTAGTAAGTGTAACTCGTTTACCAACTATTTAAATATTCGTATACTCGGCTTTAAGTCTCATTATTTTTATGAAAGCTGTTGATGCTACCCTGGTTACTCAAACTAAGCTATTAAGATTTTATGTCAAAATTAAGAAACAGCCTCAAATTTGTAAAATTTTCAATGTTGCTAATGGAGATAGTGTATGGAAAAGACAGCTTTTTAAACAGACCAAACGTTTCAGTCTGTGACATGATAATTTCATTGATGATGAAAAACCTGGAAGAATACGGACCATCTTATGTTACTGAAGACATTGAACTTGCTCGGTCTACCAAGGTTTCAGATTGCCAGTTCGGTGTTTGGGTAATTATTGAAAACTGAATTTAAGAAGCCCCGTACACATGATTTTCTCGAAGCATTCAGCGTAGTTATTTCTTATAAATAGATGTCAAATTTCATTAGTTGAAGTTCTCATCTCTTCTAGAGTTTTTATTATTACTGTCATAAATTTTTTTTGTTTGAGTTCCAATATGTATGTTTTTCTTTTTCAATTACTTTTTAGTCATTTTCTCACTGGCCTATAAACGTCTTCCTTTCACATTGGAATTGGATACTATTCTATCAACTGTTTGTTGGATTCATTTTCAATGTTGGCTTAATAAACTAGAAGTAAGTTTATACAAATGGGCAAATAGTATTAAAGTTTATGGACACACGTTTTCATGTCTTGGGTTTACATACATTCTGTAAAGACAGTTATTGACTTATTCTTAAAATTACAGAAAATCAGTCAATTATATTATGTATGTATACTTGTATTAATAAGTATACATTATACATTTATTCACCATGAAAAGACGTTTGAATAACACGTTAAACATTATCCTAAACAGAACTTTTCAACTACATTAGAACGTGCCTGAAGTGTATCAGTTTCAGTTGTGTGTACTGGTGATGAATATCGTCACGTAAATTTCTCTCAATTCCAATCCAAAGTATATTAAATGAATTTCCTTTGAACCGTTTTGAATAATTTATTATTTTGATCACTTATTATTTGTCTTGAACAGTGGCTTACTAATTTAAAAATGCCGCTTCCGATCAGTAGATCGGAGGTTTAGTCTCTCTTGCAATATCTTCCGTTTAAACACCTGAGTACTATTGTGGTGTGTGCTATTGATGTCTACAGATATGAGTAGTATGTATCACCAGTCGAAAGTGAAATGCCTGGTGACAGAAGGTTGAGAAAATCAAAGAGGGGAGAAAAATAACCTAGAGTGATTGGTATGAAAACGAAGGAATAACAGTCGGAGATAATTGATGGATATTTTCCAAATGAAGTATTTACTATATGGTTCTCAGATTTCACCAAGAAATTTTGTATTGTTGTCCCCGCCTGTGTTCTCGTTCACCATACTATCACTAGCGCTCATGCAGTACATAGCTCAAAGTTTTATACATAAATCTACACTTAATGAATAAGTAATTTCAGCGTAATTGTAATATTAGTTTGTGACACTTTATGCTGTATATTTTCTCATTTTATATTTTTAACAACATGAGAAACACTACATTTCTTTTTCCCTTTTAAAGAACTATAGAAACTCACTGATTCATCATAGAAAAACTAAAAACAATTCAAGAAAGGAGCTTATCTTTCTCCCATGAATTGTCCTTAATTACTATTTTTTAAAAGTTTGCTATATCTCCCAGTTAACTACAGCGTTTTATAGTATAGAAAGAAACATTGATACTGATTAGTACAATTAGTATTTACGATATCGATCGAATACAGTTAGTATAATACAGTATACACTCATAAGTTCATAGATAGATATTAGCTGATTATTAAGAAATAGGACACATTCAATTATATTTGATTGGCTATAAGTGCGTTTATTTAGACAATAAGTGTTTAGAATTTGTTTCCATTCGCTATTGTGCATACATGTAGCTTACCCGCTTCTTTATAGTTGTGTCTAATATGAGTAAATAACTATTTTACGAGAGCGGTTTTGTTGTTAATCTTCATGGTAGGCTTAAATTAATCAAAAAGTTTTTGAAAATCGAGGAGTATATCATAATTATTCCCACCTAATTGTAAACTCAACTGTCTTTTGTACTCGGAGCCTGATGCAGACTATTGTTCAGGACTCTAAATACGTCACTTAATTTCTGAGTCTGAGTCCAGCAATGCACATTTCCTAAGATCAATCGATTTGTAACATAGCGTTACTTACTTTCAGTGTCATCAGTACATTTCTATCCCGAATTGACTAATTCTATAGGACTTGGATCCTCGCTTGTAGCTTGAGGATTGCATTTCGACGAATGTCATTAGTATGCATGTTATTTGCTCAAATGGTTTTATGAACGTCTTAAAGAAATAGTATATTGCTCATTTCATCTCTTCCAACTTTCCTATTGTTCGCGGTCTCTTGGGTGAAGACTTAAGTTATCTCCAATGCTCTTTAGTTATCATTGACTATCAAGTTAATTTCAGTTCATGATGAAATTACCTTTAAATAAATTACGCTTTATAAGATATAAACACATATGACATTGTGGTGGCTAATTAATTTAGTTAACCACTTTCAAAGCAGAACTTTAATACTATAAATTCTAAGGAAGTTTACTGTGGTATAACAGACATTTTGACTGACTAATTTAAATCTGTAGAAATCAAAGACCACGTAGTCTGAGATAAATAAGATATGGTTAGATTGAATATAATTATCACTTGATCGATCATGGTAATTTGTATATTAGAACTAAAAATGAGAAATTAATAGAAGTTTTTAATTAATTTAGTAAACTAAGCAGGATTCTATGGCACTAAGATAAACGAAAGCTTAAGATTTCTTTCTTTCTTGCTCAATCATTACAGTAATTTGAAATTGATGATTTAATCAACCGGTGTAAACTTGTCTAAGTGTTTTATATCAGTTTGCATATTTCGATACTACAGTTTTCATGAAATCATATGTCAAATTCCTACTTTACTTATACTTCCAACTCTCTAGTACTCTATCTTTCATTGCATTAAATTCTTCATCTACTTTTGAACTGATGAACTCAGTTGTTAAGTTGGCGATGTGCTCGAATTCCAGTTACATTGTTTTGTGTCATGGCTAGCAATACTAATCAGCCTTCCAGATCCAAGAAGGTGGACTGGTGTTTGAACTTAAAACCAGTAAATTGTATGGGCTTCTTTTACCTGGGCACAATACGAACAAGTGCCGATGGACTGGAAAGAAGGACACCTCATCAAAATTTTAAAGAAAAGAGACCAGAGCAAATGTGAAAACTACAGAGGCATTACACCACTGTCAATACCAGAGAAATTCCTTAACAGAGTGTTGCTGAACCGGATGAAGGATGCAGTAGACGCCCAACTTCGAGATCAACAAGCTGGATCTCGTAAGGATCGGTCGTGCACAGACCGAGTTGCGACACTACGGATCATCTTTGAACTACCGGTTGAGTGGAACTCAACAGTGTACATCAACTTCGTTGATTGTGAGAAATCATTTGACAGTGTGGATAGGAGGACGTTATGGAAACTTCTTCGACGCTATGGAGTTCCTGAAAAGATCGTCAACATTATCGGGAACTCATACGACAGACTACAGTGTAAAGTAATGCATGGAGGACAGCTGGCAGATGCATTCCAAGTAAGTACTGGAGTCAGACAAGGCTGCATACTCTCTCCTCTTCATCCTGTTGGTCGACTGGATTATGAAGACCTCAACATCTGAAGGAAAACACGGAATACAATGGACAGCTCAGAATCAATTAGACGATTTGGACTTCGCAGACGACCTAGCCCTCCTATCACATACACATGAACAAATGCAGATAAAGACAGCCAGTGTAGCAGCAGTCCCTGTATCAGTAGGCCTCAACATACACAAGGGGAAAAACAAGGTCCTCAAATTCAAAGCGGAAAACAGCAATCAATCACTCTTGATGGCAAAACTCCGGAAGTTGTAGAGTCCTTCATATACCTAGGAAGCATCATCGATGAACAAGGAGGTTCAGATGCAGACGTAAAGGCGAGGATTGGCAAAGCAAGGACAGCATTCCTACAATTGAAGAACATATGGAACTCAAAACAACTTTCAACCAATATCAAAGTGAGAATCTTCAATACGAACGTCAAGGCAGTTCTACTGTATGGAGCTGAAACTTGGAGAACTACAACAACCACAATCAAGAAAGTACAAGTATTTATAAATAGATGTCTACGCAAGATACTCAACATCCATTGGCCGGATACCATCAGCAATAGCCTTCTGTGGGAGAGAACAAATGAGCTTCGAGCTGAAGAAGAAATTAGGAAAAGACGATGGAAATGGATAGGACATGCATTATTGAAATCACCAAACTACACGAGGCAAGCCCTAACTTGGGATCCTGAAGGGAAGCGGAAAATCGGAAGGCCAAAGAACATATTACGTCGGGAAATAGAAGCAGATATGAAAAGGATGAATAACAAGTGGAAGGAGCTGGAAAGGATTGCTTGGGACAGGGTTGGGTGGAGAATGCTGGTGAACGGCCTATGCTCCTTCACGAGGAGTAACAGGCGTAAGTAAGTAATTAATATTGTAACGAATAATAATTCAGATAAATAAATATTCGAAGGTGTGACTAAAACTCCATATGGATAGGTGCTCTATCGATCAAGTAAACAAACCGTGACACAAGAGGGAACTCAGGTGCTGTGAGTAGCATATGTAACATTGTATCTGAACTAGGAGTTTAACATAACAACTTAAATAACACTTTTTGGTCAATGATATGAGTTGTATAATTAAAGTGATTCTGAGATATGAATAGTAACAAAATTATTTACAGAATGGATCTAAATTCACCGTTACTACAAGGTTTCTGTATCACAGCTCTGTGGCCTTCTGCGAACTATTTACAGAAAACTATCTTTATGGCTCCGTTTTTATGATTGAATGTAGTTCTTAAGAAGCACTGTAATTCTTCCATACATTTAATTTTACAATTATACACGATAAAATTCTACCTGTCGCTCTCTCTTTTAGCTAAGCAAGTTTCGATTATTACTATTATTAAGTGTTATTTCTTATTACAAATTATGCATCATGATAATTAATTTGTCTACTTTGCTATTCACTGTGCTCTTTTCTTCCAGCATATAAATCATTTGATATCTTGCATTGAATTTATCAGTCGATTTAGTTCAGCTGGTACAATGATTGCTCAGGGCTTAGGAACAATGATATGGAATAAAGGTCTCATAAATTGGATTAAACCGATTCTGGCTATTGGAAGGGGTGATAAAACAGTAAGTTATTTTTGTGTTTATAATAAAAAAAAATATTTAATGCCTAGTTTACTTTTTCTCGATATTTTTGTAATAAAATTTTTCTTAAATATTTTACCGTAAAACAAAATATAGGGTTATGTACATATAGAGTTGACCGTTTACTGATAGCGATCAGTGTCATATGTATCAAAATCTTTTAGTGTTGATGAGATTTGATTTGATTAAGTTGCATTATAGTCACTAGTCTGAAGGAATCGATATTGTGTACATTATGTTTTAGTGTTAAATGGTTAGAAGCTATTAGGTGAAAGTTATGGAACTAGATCTCATGTTAATTGGCTTTCATCAGCAAGGGGTATTTGAAATTTCAAGAAAACTGATGCCTGTGCAATTAGAACGATTGTGACCCTTTGCCACTGTGGAAGACATAAACTTTGAGTTTTATTTTTTATACAAAATCAATGTCGCGGGCTTTCCTCTGACTTTCTCCAAACACTTAAAATGTCATGCTTCCACAAAATAATTTTTAGTTCTACATCATGCCGGATTTGTCAGCAAAATCATTAACTGCTCAGTTGTTTATCAATCAGTTATCCATTTCTCTTAGCTCAAGGATCTCCTATTGGTGTATGTACTAGATTTCTAGCTAGTATCTTGATCTTCATGTGTTGAATATTGTTGCTTACGTCTAACAAGTGTTTATTAATAATATTGTATTGTTAAATTATTTTTCTGGACTGTATTTATTGTGACCAAATAACCATATATTAAAGAATTTTTATACTATGTGTCCTATTCATCCCCTTGAATTTTATCAGCTTCAAGTCATAACAAAAAATAAGTTACAGAGGATATTTCAAACTTAATTTATATCCATAAGTATGTACTCAGTTGCCATTATAATTTATTAGAGAATGTAAGATTTAATTGGCCAATAAACGAAGACAAAAATATCCGGCTCTAATCATTTTAAAATGCTATTATATATGCACCTTGATTTCGCTCCGGTTTTACTCGGATTACTTGTACTTTATCAATAAACTCTTGTTATGGTTCATATCTGGTTCTTGATTCTTGGTTTAAATTTCAGTGTTACAGGTAACATGATCTAGTATGATGGTATATATATACGATGGTGCATTGATCTAAGATCCAATCTATTATGTAGTGTTGAAGTACTATTAGTCCGTTATCATGTATCGAGTATTTAGTGTTGGAGAGCAAGTGTATTATTTGATAACCTTCATTAAAGTACAATTACTATATGAAATAAAATTTCATCAGTACTGATATAACAATAAACTATTTGTCAACTTTTACTGATCAAATTTTATTGAATATTGAAATCGATTTGATGGAATACCAGTCGGTATCACCGATTTCTGAGATAACTGCCCCTATTATTTATTTTCAGAGAAATATAATAAAGTTTCTTTTCGATGCAATCCTTGTAACTTTTCTCTTTTTTTGGTATAAATAAATTTCAGCTTGATAAATGTCGTGATAGTTTTCCACATATATTGGATGTAGCCGTATGCTTAATTGATTTCATTCGAATATATTCGAATGTAAGTTCTCTTCTCAATTTTCCAAGTAATAAAACATTGTTTATTATGTTCATATAATCAAGTATAATAAGCTCATTTATTATTCTTCAAAGTAAGGAATGTTGCTGATCAGTCAGTCAGTCAAAAGTAATATAAAACCCGGTACCTATGTGCATGGGTTCATGTTACTCTACCCTGTTAGCTCAGAGAGATCAAATTGTCACGGTAAATCACAGAGTAGCATAGACAGTAACAGTATTAGTGATAACAATAAAGATTAAACATCAAAGATACGATTCGAAAAGAAAATATAAGGATTATGAGTAATTATGAAACTTAGAATCTATGTCATTCAAAGTCTCTAACTATTGGTTATGATGACTACGCTGACCTCAACCAGGTAATGGATACCTGTTAAGATGGTTCAGTCCAGTTGTCAATGACATAATAGCTGGCTTCAAATATATCAGTTCTCACCCATAGTTTGGCGTGAGAGCATAGGAACTCATTAGAATGTTTTCCGTACTATTTTAAACAATATATTATTATTCAGCTAGTTCGGTCAAGGTAGATAAAAAGGGTTTCGAACTTGCAACTTGGTCTTTGAGCGTTGAGTGCCATACACTATTCTGGCATCAGTCATATAAAACTATTGAATTCTATCACTAAAAAAAGTCGTAATATAATTTATGAATAGATCATCATATGCCATTATTATTTAGCTGTTGAATAGTAATTATTTCAGCATGGAATTAATCAACTTATCGCTTGGTAAAATCAGTGTTATACTAATCCGTAATGTTACATCTGTCGGAGCTTTTGACCATACAATTGAGTTACTCGTAAAACTTCTGGAAAATATGCCTGAAGTATGGCACTATTATTTGTAAGAATATGTGCATAATATATTTTAACTTTAAATTTTGAGTTTTCTATCGTGTTTACCGCGTCAATATACAATCCAAGAAAAAGAAAATTTCCTGAAATGGAGATTATTTACAAGACGTGTGATAAACCTTATAACAGATAGCAGTTATATGTCACAACCACTTTGGAAGACTACATTGACAAGGCTACTAAGAACACAAGAATAGGACAACCTATTACAATCAAACAATTTAAAATAGAAGTAGCACATCATGGCTCTCTCTCTCTCTCTCTCTCTCTCTATATATATATATATATATATATATATATATATATATATATATTACAGTTGTGCACAAAATCAATATCAAATGGATAATAGTTGTTCAATTTAACGACGTTTTCTCTAAAACCATTATTATTTAGAAGTTCAACGGATGTGAAATTAAATCTAAGGATAAGATTATGCAATCGGATATTGATAAGAATCGGTTGCGCAAGAATAAGTATTAGGTAAGTGTGAATTGATGCGATTGTATGTGAATATTTAGTGTTATTTGTATGAATAATAATATTATTAAGGCGAAGAACTCTATCGATAAAATATAGCTTTAAAAGTTCTTTATAGAATTCAATAGAACGTCCCCCATATCATGTTTCACTGTCGGGTTACATCCCAACAAATCCTGTATTTGTACACAAATAAAGTTCTTTTGACTTCTTAATTTACTTTTGACTTTAAACTTAGTTTGCAACGTTTTTCAAACAAAAAGCTTTCCAATTCAGAACTTCATTTTACGTGATCTATTTGTCGTAGTAATCTGATTACCCACTTTTCAGTGTACCCATCACATTAACTACGTATTTTTAGTTTTGAAAATAACACTAAATATTCACATACAATCGCATCAATTCACACTTACCTAATACTTATTCTTGCGCAACCGATTCTTATCAATATCCGATTGCATAATCTTATCCTTAGATTTAATTTCACATCCGTTGAACTTCTAAATAATAATGGTTTTAGAGAAAACGTCGTTAAATTGAACAACTATTATCCATTTGATATTGATTTTGTGCACAACTGTAATATATATATATATATATATATATATATATATATATATATATAGAGAGAGAGAGAGAGAGAGAGAGCCTTGGTGTGTAACTAATTAAAGAAATTTCTTTCCTTTATTGAACAAATGCTCAATGAATAAACTAGAGTCGGAAGTATCTGTTAAAAGTTTCAGATCCATGTTACGACAATCACAAGTAAATTTAAACCGCAAGTTGATGTAAACAATTTAGAAATGCTAAACAACAACAACGAACCATAACTCGCTATATATTAAAAAATAATTAGAAATGAAACTACTTACTGCATATTATTCAGTAGTATAACTTTGTATACAAAAAGGTATCTGATAAGAAAAATGTAGAAGGCTCAAAATTAGTACAACGACTTAGAGCTGTCTTTTTAAAGAAATAGTGATTGACATTCAATTCATTATTTGATAAACGTTAGTAATCCAATTTCATGTAAGTTACGTGAATCAGAATAATTTATTCTTTATGAGGAGGCATTTCAAACGTTTATTTGTTTGATACACTACTTCAGTTTATTATATTATTATTATTAATTTTATTATTATTATTATTATTATTATTATTATTATGCAGGGATAATACTATAGATTGCATTTGAACTAATACACTCGTTGAATAATGCCGAAAGATAGTTCCCAGTTTCTGAAATGGATGATCATGTGTATATGGAGAAAGGTGCTATATTTATTCAAGTTAATTTCGATTAAAAATAAACGATGGAAATTAGCCACTAAATATTCAGTGTAAATGAAAGCTGAACAGGAAACACATAATTAATATATAATAGAATTAGAAAATATAAAATGACTAGTTGTAGAGGAGCTAATTTTTAAACTTGAACGAAATATGAATACGGTAATAAAAACTAATGAAATAGATAATCACCCACAGGTTACAAAATTCGATAACGTCGCTTGAATATCGTATTGTAATTTCGTTTGAAACTGTATAATTTTAAACTAGTGATGGTCAAGGCATTTGAGCATCGGAAGTGTAGCCTCATTCTAGCTGAACGAATTCTCAATCTTCTAACGTTACTTTTCATGAGCTAACTCTATACACTAATTGGTTTTATGTTTCTTCTCTTCGTGGCATTTTCGTTGTGGCTTGTTCAACTGCTTTTAAGACATTTCTTTATTGCCTTTAGTTTGGTTGTAACCATTTTCATTTCTAATATTATATAATCGTAGGCTTGCCACGTGCTGAAGTGGTACCAGTCTTTTCAGTAGAATCTGAATGGAGTGACTTCGACACTTGTAATAATGATAAACCTTTTCCATTCAATGACAAAGCATTTGAGGACAAATCGTCTGTGGATTTAGATGCTCAATCTCCAATTTTTAATGACAATGCTGCAAAGAATATGTTTACTGAAGTCTCAACTGGTGATTCATGTAGAAAATGTTTAGTTCAAGATGCTGTCAATCAACCTGTTCCTAATATGCTTTCAATAATTTCATGGGAACAACTTATTATTGTTGCATCATCTTTCATCACATTCGGTAGACCTGAGAAATTTGACAAATCTAATCGACAAACAATCGATATGAAATTCTATTCACCTATTGACTTTTTCCCATCACAAGTATGTGTATTCGACTGAGTTAGTTAATTTTTCGTTTTAGTGCACATTATTATATGATCGATAAAATTTCAACTGTTCCCTTCTTAAAATTTTATTGCACAAACTTTATCTCAGATGACCCATTGTATATGGAGTTCGTGGTTGTGCATAATGATAAGATTTAGGATATCGTATTTTGTATTTCGTCTGGTGCTTGAATTTTCAGAGAACTTGAATAGAAACTATACTGCCGATGACTATGTTGCTCTACTTACTTCTGAAGTGATTATTGACAAAATCTTATCCTTTTCTCAAAAACGTACATCTTTTTTATCAGGAATCTTATCTATCAATTTTCATGGATCATACTGATTCTGTTATCTAAATTACTTAATTATTTTATGTCATTTGTGGTTTGTTCACCTACAAAATAACTTAGGAATAGATTTGGTTTGATAAAGCATTGAAATGTCCTAGCTTTCATAATAGAAGCCTGATACACTGGGCTTTGACATCAGATATTAGCTAGCATATTATAAAAGTAACCGGGATTCGTTTTCATCCTACTAATGATTTTTTATTTGTTTATGTAATTTCATCTGATATGTTGTTATTTCTTTCTTTTTAAGGATTTACATATGATATTGTCACCTGATAATCCAAACTGGGTTAGCACAGGTGTTGGAAACAATGTTGATGATGATTTAGTAATAAGGCGACGCTTTTTCCTCTATTGGTTAATTGAAAAATGTGTTGCACGTCTTTCATTGTTACCTAATTCACAACGTTGTGCAACTCCATCATTCATTACAGACGAAAATATAATCTGTTCAGTTAATCATCAATCTGATTGCACTTTTAGAGCTGTAGATATTTATGATCGATTTAGTTCTGCTGCCTTTACTTTGGCTAACCATTGGGGTTTTCCAAAAGATACTGTAGTTATACAACATATAGTATCCTTATTTGAAGCTAATCTAGATGATCAAGCTGAGCTTGTAAGTTTTATAGTCTTTTTCTTAGTTATGTAATAAATCTGTTATAAAAATCGTAAAGAATTCGTAGCTCACATTTGACTATATAATATAGAGTTATCAAGCTGGATTCGAATTAAAATTGTTATTTCTTAATACAAATTTGCCCATTATTTATGTTATTGTTATAATTGAATATACTGTCATTTTATTCAAACTGCTTAAGTCTGTCTTTGTACACTTCGTACGTACGTAATAATGTAATTACAATTAGTTTTTTATATCTTCCTTGTCCACTCAAGTTGACACAAAACTGTAACAGGTCACATCTTCATCAGGTTGATATCTGTAGACACTTGTACACAAAGAACGTAATCCTCATACAGATATATGTTACTGCTGAATCTTCCACAACAACACGTTCGCAACGCTATTTTCTCATATGATTTCCAGAGAATTTTTTACCACCCTCCCCCCCCAAATAAAATAGAACATCAATGGTTTACTTTCAAGGTTATTTTGTTTACAGAAATCGCCCAACGTGCATATGGTTTACAGTAATCTTGTAAAGCTCATAGGAGTGACACTAAAATTAATGACGTATATACACAAACAATCTGATTCTAAGTAGGATTTGGATGTATTAGCCGCTATATTTTCCTGCAAAGTATAACTTGGGGTGTATACATAGGCACACGTAAGTCAATGGATAAATAAACTTTTGGAGACTTTTTTATTCGTTATTTCTTGCTTCACATTCAGTAAGTTCCCATCTTAATTCTTAAATGACTCAATGTTCATTACTTTTATTCGCCAATGTTATCTTGTTTTCAACCCTAATATTTTTTAATTACTAATGGTAGTTTTATCAAAAGTTCAAGACCCTAGTAATTTGGCTGTCCGATTATTGTTCATTGTGGGACGTCGTGTAGCTGATCGATGTTATGGTCCAGGATGTAATAATACAAAACAACGACTACGTTTACGCGTATTCATTCCACTGACAATTGAAGCATGGCTTCGTGGTCTATTACCACCGGTATGTTATAGTACTTTTTTCATACATAATATAATTAATGTTTTTTATTCATTAGATTTCAAGTTTGCCTGATAGTCAACAAATTAATGATCATGACTCTCAACTCACTTCATCTACAACAGACGTGACAAGATTGACATTTCTTATTGACTATGTAATACAACATCTACCACAATATGCAAGCCAATTGCCTATAGCTGAAGAACTACGAGATATTATTCAAGCTATTGTACAATTAGATACAGAATAGTATTCCTTTCTCTTTTTCTAATCATATATGCAAGAATCTCTTCAACAATGTTATTTTTCTCTTATTAAATGATAGCGAATAAACATCTTTGATTATAAAACATGAGTTAACTTGATACATTGTTTCTTTTCTTACTCAATATTGTCATAGAGTACAATAAACAAAAGTTTTGTGATAGACGAAAACGAAACAATATTTTTGGTTATAATGTTCAACTCTATTATAGTATCAGCATCACCAAGTCAGTCGCAACGTAGAACCATGGTACTTACTTACATCGGTTAAAATTGTTATACCCCAATAACACAGCGAGATGAAATTGTTACGGTAAATCCCAGAGTAGTAGAGATAGTAACAGCAAAGATTAAACATCGAAGATACGATTCGAGAAAAATATAGATTGGTGAAATAAGAAATTATTGATTCAGAAACTTAGAATCTGAGGAATGTTAAAAAGTAGATGCATCTACGCCGTTGCAAATGATTTCGAGTCATGTCATTCAAAGTCCTCAACGATTGGCCAAGGTAATCGTACGGACACCAACCACGTAGCCTACACCTATTGAAATAGCTAGTCCAATTTTCATTGACTGATGCCATGCATTAGTTTTGTTAGATATAGATTGAATTGAAACATGCTCCATGAACGATTGAGTTGGCGCACGCTGATTGGCTAATTCTTATCCAATCAGCGCTAGCCTATATATGGAGAGCACTCTAGAATCTCACGTAAAAACGTCTTTCCTATAGTACTTCTTACTTCTATCTAACCTTGTTATTTGGAATATAATTTCCTTCCTGTTCAACCGTTTTCTGATTTGGGGACTTGTCCAGTGAATTGGTGTCCAAGGATACTAGGCAATAGGAATAGCTGGGTTGTAATAAGGTTTCATCACTCCTAGCTTTCTTCCAGCCTACTCCCACACCGGACATCGCCCATCGTAGCAATAAGTGCTTTGCGTCTAATTTTGACCCATATTTTGTCAATTTTTCGGATGTCGATTTTGGGCGTATTAGTTTCCGTTTAGAGATATTAATGTGGTCTACTAAAGCAAGACGTTCGATGTCACATCTTAATTTAATTTTCCTGAAGTCCTCCTCCTGACATCCAGAAGAGTGTTAGTTTGGAAAAGCTGTGCCTAACTCTCATGACCTACTGAACGTATGTCGTCATTCTTTTATTTACCACCGCCCATGACTTGTGTGAGTTAAAAAGTAATAGCTAACATGGTCAATGATCATCTACAACAGATAAATTTTATGCAATGAGAAGGATTATACAACATATGATGCTAGTTGGTGATATGAACCACTTGCAAAGCTCGAACAACCTACCTCAGGAATCTACCTGGCATGACTTCAAGTGAATCATGTCATCATAGTTCCAGCATTTATTTTAATTTTTCTCCATTATTATGATATTTTGCCATTTACCTTTTAACTTAAAACAAAGCATTTTTTCCAAAATATTTGCTTAATTTTCATTAACCTTCATTATTCACAAATATCTTTACAACTTGTCTGTTATTCTCATACAAGAATATCACTTTAATTGATTATTGACTCCATAAATTATTCTATTTGTTAACTGTGCACAAGGATACATCTCATTTTTTATACTTAGCTATTCTATATTCACTGGGTTTTTTCGGAGATATTTTCTTGAATTATCAATCAAAACAATGTAAATTAAGAAAAAGATCTTTCAATGAAAAATAGCATTCATGTATTATTATGATTTTTTAATTGTACAGACGTAGTTTATTGTTTATAAACGAGAGTGATACACTTTCAAATGATGTAATTGCAAAGTTTATAAAAAAAATTAAGATTAATCAGAATACAATTTAACAGCCGAATTAATATTACTAAATTATTATCGTAACGCGATTACAGTGGAAAAAACTAATGTGTAAAATATCTCACATCATTTCAAGTTAATCACAGTAGAAAGACTACAAAAAAACAAAACACCAACTAACAAAACGTTTCCAATGCTCATCACGATCATTTATCTATTGATGGTACGATTTATCCTGACAAGAAAATCTGTGAGTGAAATCGAAACCATAAACAATTTGACGCTGTACAATGAGAAACAAAATACACTATCTTCCTGCTACTGCTATTATAATGGAATCATATGAAAGTGACCAATGAGGATTAACTACACATTGATGGTGTGGAGTGTGTGGAAAGAAAGAAAGAAAAAAAGGGATTCTCTAAACAAAAAAGAAATTATAACTTTTAGATATTATTACCATCATAATTATTATTCATTGGTCTGATAGACATTAAACGTCGAATCTCAGCAACGGCAGAACAAAATTGACACCAGATATATTGTAATTCACCATTTAGGTTATCACCAGCAAAATTGTTTATAAATTCGATATTGCTCAGTAGTCGAGGAGGATTTGTCTAAAAAATATAATAAAGAATTGACAAGCGAGAATAAATTCTGTATTACTAATCGGTCAATAAAAATCAATGAGCCCATATTAAAAAGTAGCATGTGTAGTGTCACTTGTTAGTTAACAGAATATCACTTGACTGGTATTGCTTTTCTTATTTATGGTAAGACGTATCGATAGATTGGTAAAGAATCATGATGAAGAGCTTATTGGGAAAACACTGCTCCAATATAGTTGCTTTCCGTCCTAAAACAAGCAACGTGCAGCTATAATAAAAATTTATCTGAATTCTAAAACTATGTACTACTTAAATTAAGCTAATATGTATGTTTGTGGTTTTCAACAAGAACTAATCTTAGTTGGATAATCATGGGGACGAAGAGGCATTGAACAGCTGTTTTGTTCTAATATGAGACTCTACTACAATGCACAACCAAGACTTGATCAAGAATCGAACCCAGGACTTTCAAGTAATCCATAATTACTAATGTCTGATACCCAGTTACTCATTATTTGATTGCTCTACTTAAATTACTATTCATTGTCTGTTATACGCATAAAATTCTTTAAAAAGAAAACTTAGGTTGAATAACATTCATTCGATAAATTAAATAACTAATACCGAAGAAAGTAGTTCGATTTTATTCACGCTACTAGCCATATTAGACAAATCTCATTAAATGTTATTCCTCACAGTACACGAAAACATAGAGCATTCATACTCAGTTTGAATATCTAATGTAACAAAAGTATACCCTACTCTAAAAAAACTAATGATAATGAAGAATAAACAACACTTCTGTATGTCAATCATATTAGTTATGTTTGTGATTAACAGTCAGAGTCATATGATAAGATTATATCTTTTGTTCAATATTACTTAGTAATATTGTTTATACTGGAATGTGCTCAAAAGTATCTTCAAATATTATACGGTATTTATTTAATGAGAATGATAGGTTAAATATATTGATAAATATACTTACATGTATAACTAAATAAATGAGCACTGGTAAAAGATCATCTGCACACGGTATTGATGTGGGATTGGCTAGTTGCAAAGCAGCTAAAACATGATTTATTACACGTTTTAAACAACGAAGTTTATCAGATGATGTCTATTTAAGATAGAAAATAGAATAAAAAACCATTCATCATTAATATTTGTAGAAAAAAAAGGAATCGGACAGAGAACATACAGTTGTGAGGAAGTTAAATTTCCAGTTCTTAAGCTTTTAGTTCATCGGTCCTAATGAATGGCTTAGCTTATTTAATAGTATATTTAAGTACTTGTATTAGTTCAACTGACAATTCTGTTTACAGTATCAATTCCTAAATATAATTTGAATAGACTTAAAGGCAGAACCACTGATTAAGTATATGGATTTGAGCATCGTTTTCTCGAAAAGTCGCAAATCTCTACATGAACAAGATCCCTCGAAATTCAAGGTCAGTGTGCAACAACTTAGACTTCGAATAGAGTGAATGAGTCGAGCGCGTTCATCGCTTCAATTATATTAGGAGTTTCATCTAACCAACCAGTTTAGCAACAGACGAATTATCACTTGGTTTCTGCTATTTTTTTTAGATGTGGTGGAGGAAAGTTTGATGAATGGCAGTTTTCGCTGTATTATTTAGTGGCTATGAAAGTAGGAGACATTTGTAGTCTAAAATTGCCTATCGATAGGTGTCTTCGAAGCATTGCTCGCACGTAATCGAACATCCGAATGAACATTGCCAACGCTAGGCGTATAATTATGTTGAGAATGATTATCCTTCTCGATGCGTGAAGCATGACAAGCCAAAACCCACCTTGATGTGAATTCCTGGCCAGGGTGACAGTAGGTTTAAAAAGCTGAGGTCTTCCAAAAACAAGAATAGCACCAGTCCTTGTAGTCGTTTTCTGTTGAAATAAGCTATGTAGCGAGGTGTAGATCCTCTAGTTAGTGTCTTCATGATAATTGTGACCAGTAGCCAGATATTTTGAACGATATCCCTAAAAATCCATCATAGTACTTCAGATCCATTTATTCTTTGTCTACATTTAGATCCTAAGTTCTAATGATTTTCGTACTTTCCATCTCTGTTTCTCGAACTATATGTTTTTTCTTATCGATTTAGCAATTTAAAGCAATATATATTTGGGTTACATTCCATATTGCTCATAACTGATAAAAGCTTTCTGTATATCACTTGAATCTTTGTACTGGCTCTTTTCAAAATGGAATTATGTGTATGAAATTAAACAATTTGATATTCAAACCGATATCAATTATGAGTACTACAAATAAAACAGTTCTTTTTTTATTGTAACAACTGAATTGATTAGTTGCCGAAAAAGAAATTATAATATTAAGTTAAAACTAGTTAAATACAATCAACACAATCTATACATAAAACAATATACTCAAATAAATACATACATGATAGCAATCTAACAATAGTAGTTCATTTTGTACAGATTTTAATGGTAAAACAATATGATATGCATTTGAAATTCGTAATTCTGTTGGTGTTACTGTATTTTGTAAAAATGTTAACTCTCGATGAAACAATCTATTTTAATATGAAAGAAATAATTTACATATAAATATTCATATAATTATACTAAAACAAAAACATTG